CCTTGAACCTGCGAAACTCTATTCCCTTCGAACGTCTGAAGCTTGTGAGGCGATGTTCGCAACCATGTTAGCACTATGCTAGAGTCGCACCATGCTGTGACTGAAGTGATGTTTATTTTATGTTGCAAAACCTTGCAAACATGTTCCAAAAGACGAGCCAATAGAACTGCTCCACAGAGCTCGAGTTTGGGAATTGTCTTCCTTTGCTTGACAGAAGCGACTCTAGATTTGGCAACCAACAAGTTCGTCTCTACATCGTCATCGCTACCACAACGAAGATATACGCATGCGGCGTAACCGCGTTCAGACGCGTCGCTAAAACCGTGAAGTTGACATTCAGACATTTGATCACGCGCTACATAGCGTGGGATACGAATTTTATTTAATGAATGAAAATCTTCAACAAACTTAAACCAAGTCTGCTGAGCGTCAAAAGGAAGTGTATCATCCCAACCTATCTCCAAAAGCCACAAATTTTGTAAGAAAGATTTAGCAAAGAACGTTACAGGAGCAATGAAACCACAAGGATCATATAAACGAGCGATATTTGAAAGAATACCCCGCTTGGTTAATGTTTTACTCATACTAGACACTCGATAAAGAAAGCTATCAGAAGATGGGCTCCATTCGATACCTAAAATTTTGAAAATGTCGTCACCTGAATCTTCGAATCGATAAGGCGTCTCACAATGATCAGCAGGTAAGCCCTTAAGTAGTTCGCTAGAGTTGCTAGACCATTTCCTCAAATGGAAACAACCTTGAGCCAACACGTCAGTAATTTGCTGCTGAAGTGTTTTAGCGCCATCCAGTGTAGAGCTACCACTCACGATGTCATCTACGAAAGTATCCTCCCGCAGGACACGTGCCGCCTCAGGATATGTAGAGTCGTTGATGTTCGCCAACTCGTGAATCACTCTGATAGCTTGGTAAGCAGAACTAGAAACGCCGTATGTAACAGTGGTTAGCTCGAACTCCTGCAAAGGCTTATCGATAGAGTCACGCCAGAAAATAGTTTGAAACCGCTGATCATCGTGATGTATTTTGACCATACGATACATTTGCTTAATATCGCAAGTGAAAACAATTAAATAAGTTCTAAAACGTAAAATAATATCTTGAATATTTTCTTGTAACTTAGGACCCGACATTAAAATTTGATTAAGTGAAACTCCTGTAGAGCTAGGTAGAGATGCGTCGAAAACTGCTCTCAGTTTTGTAGTGCTGCTACTCTCCTTGAGCACGCCATGATGAGGAATGTAATACCTGTCAACATGGCCATCGGATGACACTAACTTCATATGACCAGACTCTATATAGTCCTTCATAAACTGAATGTAGAGTTCACGAAGTCTAGGCTCCCTTATAAGCCGTCGTTCTAAATTGTGAAAACGTTTCAGAGCAACAAGACGTGTATCACCGAGCTGAGAAGAGTCTACCTTAAAGGGTAGACGGACAATGAACCTCCCATCAGTGTCTCTACTATGTGTGTTGACAAAGTGCTTTTCACAAACGATATCTACAGGATCTGGAACGGGCATCAAAGGAACGTCTTCAGATTCCCAAAACTTAATTAAAGTATTTTCAAGCCTAGACTCATCAGTGAGTAAGCTTATATTTTGATATTGTGTTGTGGTCACAGGGGTTGAACCCATAATGACCCAACCGAAAATAGTTGAGTGAGCTGTTGGTAAACCATTACCTAAATTTAACTTCGGACCACAAAAAATGTCACTGAAAAGATTAACACCCAAAAGTAGGTCAATTCTACCTGGAATGTTGAAAGTCTTGTCAGCAAGCTGAAGGTCGCTACATTTCTCTGGCACAATTGGATTGACCATCGCTGCAGGTTGATATCCAGTGATACGCTTAAGTATGATGGCTTCAGTGGACAAACCAGGAATGGAATCTGTTGTGAGAGACACAATGTTACAATCTACCCTGCCATGGGTAGACTGTCGATGTTGACCAACACCAAACAAATCGCAGGACTTACGACGACGAAGTCGAAGCTGCTGTGCTAAAGATTCAGTCATAAGAGATGATTGAGCACCAGGATCTATCAACGCGCGAACAATATGCACATGACCATCAATGTCTTGAACTCCAACGAGAGCAGTACCCAATAAGCCAGTAGACGATGGTTCCACGTTGAGCAAGACCTGTCTCGAAGATTCGAGATTCACATTTGAACCTGCTGATTTACTAAAATCATTATGTAATTTGGTATGATGACGTCCATTACATATTTGACAAGTGCTTTTAGATATACACTTTGATACAAAATGAGGCCTTAAACAGTTGAAACAAAGCTTTCTTTGTTGAATAAATGATTTCTTATCTCCAAGTTTTTCAAACTCTGAACAATGGTATACACCATGGTTACCACCACAGCAATGACAAGTGATACTAGATACATGCAAAGTAGATGAACGATTAACTAATGATTTTTCATTATTATTTGAATATGCAAAATTAGTAACTTCCAAAACTCTCAAGTGATTTTCTAAAAATGTTAATAAGTTATTAAAATCAGGAATTTGATTTTGCTGCAAGGTAAATTCAAATTTAGTTCTTAAGTCTAAAGGTATTTTTCTGATTGTTATGTGATATAATAGAAAACCCCAAGATATCACATTAAACCCAAGTGAATTTAAAGCTTGTGTATTCTCTTTCAATGTGTTAATAAAACGTTTCAGATTTTTTAAATTAGGACATGAAACTGAAAGTAATAATTCCAAATGTTTATCGGCTATCAAGCGCTTGTTTTCATAACGTTCATGTAAAATAGTACATGCAACCTCATAGTTGTCACTAGTAATGCTTAAATGTTTTATTAAATTTAGAGGTTCCTGTTCTAAAATACTCAACAGATAATGAAACTTTTGAATGGAAGATAACTCATTGTTTTGATGTATCAAACTATCAAAAATTGATTTGAAATTAGGCCATTCTGTGTGAACACCTTTAAATCTAATTAAGTTAATTTTTGGCAAATGAAAACGAGTCGATTCATTATGGGATTGAGCAAATGTCTGCTTCACTACAGGAATATCGGTTTTGGAATCACACATACCTAAGTCGTCATAAATAGTTTTTATGGTATAAAATTTTTCGTAAAACTTTGAAAACTTTGATTCTATGTCTTCCCTTTGTTTGTCATCTAACAGAGTAACCAAAATAGAAAAGTTCTCATCGAATTGTTTCCGAATATGTTCTAAGTCTGCGTAACGCACACGAAACATAGCTATTTGTTTAGCATTTGGAGTTGTTTGTGTAAGTCCTGTTGCTGATTCATACAGTTCTTTTATAAAATCATATGAAATTTTGAATTTTATTTGAGCAATCTTTAGATCGGAGTTCATCTTATTAGAAATTGTAAACAAAAAGAAACGAGGTTAAGTTATGAAATAATGTGACACTTGTCAGAATGAATGTCGTCTATAAATGAATGTAGTCTATGCAAGCAGTGTTGCCAATAGCTAAACTCGGAAATGCACTAATGTTCCACGAAAAATGCACCAATTTATTTTAAAAAATACGAGGGTATCCAAACAATAAAAAGTGAAAGGAAATTACAAAGAACTAATAAATGCTTCGATATGATTTTGGATGATATATTATTATGAAAATTTAAGGCTACCAGGGCAAAGGATAAGGATATATGGCTGAAGGACCAGGAAATATGGTGAATCACAAGGAAAAGGATGGGGTCGTACCTGGTTCACTACGTCCCAGCGTGCTGGATGTTCTGGACGCGCGTCTTATTTCCTAGTGGTGCACCACACTCTATATCACTTGTTCGCGAGACAAACGCGTCGATCGCCGTGATACTTGACTTCTCAGCTTTTATATATTGGGAGCTACGTCTGCTCGACCCGGCTGCGATTGCGGAAGTGAGTTTACGATATTCTCAGATTACCCCCAAGGACTTCAGATAATAAAAAGGCATGGAGGTAGGAAGGTATCACGAGTGATGGGACACGATTGTATCGAATAGGTAAAACCTAAACCTTAAAATCTACCAGTACTCATAGTTACTGCTCAAAAGAATGTTGACTATAAACTGTATGTAGATTAAAACCGGTTTCTAAATTGAGAATATAATACGTCTCAAACTGTACTTAAACAAGTTTTCGTTTGCGATTTTTAGTTTTTTAATTTGATCAATGTGATAGCAGTCTGATAAAACTAGGACTTTTTAATTTTTAATAATTAGTTACTAATAAATTTTGTACTTTTCTTAATTTAAAAACCTGCTGAATGAGGAATTAAGTCGAAATCAAAAAGCTATTTAGAGAAATTTTCCGTTCAATTGGTCATTTCTTATTTGACGTGACTTATTTGATCTATTTTTTGATTTGACTTATTTGATCTATTTTTTATTTGACGTATACACGTAGATATGAGCGATACAAACTCTAAACCCATAATAAACATGTCATTTGCAAAGCTACGTCCTGCCCTGCTCCGCGATTCTGTAAAAATACAGACCCGAATTCGAATTCACTCATGTGTCAGAATTCACGTCATTTGGTGTAGAAATTCTAATGATTCCATTTTTTGTATAAAAATACTAAACCAAATTGATTGAATATACGTGTCTCAGAGATTCTATTCCTATGTTAATTCGAAACCCACTTCACTTATGCTACGAAACTTTATTACCAATTCAAGGTTGAGCGAATGCCGCTTAGTGAATTCGAATTCGAGTTTGGATTTTTACAGAATCACAGGGCTGAGTCGAAAAAGTGTTGTATGGGATCGCTTCTCTAGTTATTAAACTCATTGGATAGTTATGTGGAGAAAACTTAGTATTCCCTATCGGTAGGTACTTCCAAAGCACAGAAGAACACTTTTGCCGTGTGGATTTTCCAAGTATCGAATTTATGACAAGGTGTTTGTGTATCTATTCCCATGCAAGAGTACAAGAATTATTTGCTAATCCATTAGAACATTTGATAAATGAATGAATACGATATGAGTTCAATATCCTCTCGTAGAAAATAACGTACCGCGCTGTGAACGAGCCCGGAGAGAAGTACGACAGTGATACTGTAGTGGAACTGAAGAAGGGCCCCGTGCCCTCCCATACGGACAGGAACTGGACTGTGGAGATGAGCGTGCCCCACCTCGACGTCCACAACCTACAAGCGTGCTCCTTCATACGTCTCGAATACGAGTTCAAGGTAATACAGCTGCGTGTACTACTTACTCTCGCTTTTGTCCTTTATATCTAATTTTACGATTTTCAATGTACATAGTCTTTTTTGAAATTAAGCATTCATTCAATCGCCGTCGGCGTGCGAGACATCGAAATGATAATTGAAGTCACGCCCACCGCTATGATAGGCAGGACATCTCTTTATTTTTTTTTTTAATTCTACCTGATCACCTGATATAATCATTACAACCTATACATTAAAAATTAATAAGGTATGGCATATCTGCGAATATGATAATGTAATACGGATAATGTAAAGCAACAGATGCAAAACTTTGTTCTCTCCCAGATATCCGCGGCTACAGATATAGGTATTCGGAGCATAAATAATCCTAGGCTTGCGAGTAAATAGTAATATAAATCAAAGATTATATACATCACACTCGATGTTAAAGTTGAATGTGACTATCTGTACATTTTTAATAAACATAAAAAATTTAATAGGTGACCGTGTCGCCGGATGGTTGTCATGAAGACGACGACGACAGTTGCCAAATATTCTTCGGCACGGTCCCAGTGGTTGGCTTTGAGAGCAACGTTCCGAACTCACAAAACCCGCAAAGTGTTTTCCCGACTCAGAACTATCCACAGATAGCCGCGCCGTACCCTCAGCCAGTGCTCAATCAGCCAGTATCTGTCAACCAATCTCACGCTGCTCCTAATTCTCCTTATCCACCGAATCCTTATCCCAATAATTCGCCGTATCCTTCTCCGAACCCTTCAGCCCCATACCCCATACCACAGAACACCCCTTACTCCCCAGCTCAACATAACCCCGCTCCTTACCCTGGTGCTAATCAGCCTTACCCGGGTGGTAACCAGCCTTATCCAGGCGGAAATCAACCCTACCCGGGCGCAAATCCACCATATCCAGGCGGAAACTCACCTTATCCGGGTAGCCCTCAATCTCATCAGGGCGGAAACCAACCGTACCCGGTTGGCAACCAACCTTATCCGGGCGGAAACCAGCCTTACGCAGGTCCGGGCGGTAACCAACCTTACCCGGGTAGCAATGCGCCTTATCCTAACAGTAACCCACCTTACCCGACCGGTAACCCACCTTATCCAGGTGGTAACGCACCTCCCCCGGTGGATAGTAAGCCAATGGGATTCGCTATGGAAGGTCATGGAAATTCCCCGATTCCGATTCCTATGTTGCCGCCAGGATCTGTACCATATCCAGTTGCGGTAAGTTATCCAGATTTTAAACTATTTTTAATAATGTAATGCTTAACACATATATAATTTACAATATTTACTTTAACTTGATTTATTTTCTCCATTTTTTTACCATTCTGTCATTGTGATTAATATATATCTGAATACAATCTTTTAGTACAGTGGTTCCTTACTCAGGGGTAATTACTACCGTGGGAAAAAATCACCAATTGTGTGGTGGATAACAAAGGGCCTAAAAATTAAAACCTAAAATAATAAAAAGCTATTAAACTGTCTCAATGTGGAACATGATTTAAGACTTGCATTAATTGAAACTAATACTCGTTTTCACTAACCTAGAACAAGGCATTGTCTTCTTTTTGTATTTCCGCCAATGTCTCGTTAGCGGCATTTACACGTAAAGAGACAATAACAAAAATATATTTTGAGGTAATAAAACAAGAAAAATAATACGTGGTTTTGTATTTACATGAGCACCTTAGTCGTCTCATGTGCATTTAAAAAATTAATGTGCATTTAAACTCCTCGTTTCCAACGTACTAAATTGATTTAACATTACCTAATATAAAAAGGGTTGAATGTAAAACGATAATAACCATTACTAATTAATCAATATATCTGTATTTACTTGTAATATTTGTTTACAAAACTTTTAAGTTGGGGATAATATCAAGTTAAATATGGAACGCTTATAAAAAGGTTGAGAATCGCTGTTTTATTGCTAATACTCTCTAGATAAGCAGCGTTTAGCCGTTCAGACAGACAAACGGACATTGTTTAGGGTTCTTGTTGACGACACATATATAATAATATTAAAATTAAAAAAGATAAAGTCTCTTAAGTTTGTTTAGAGCTACCACTATAGGCTATAATTTAATAAGGCGAAATTGCGAGATAACAACTCTTTTTTATTATTTTGGCATTTCTGGGGGTTTCAGTTAGAAGCACAGTTGTCCGGACAGTTAAATGAGAATGAGAGGTTGATATTTTCAATAATATGACTATTATTTAACCTTAATTTACAATAAATACTACTCGTACGAATTAACATGAAACCTTAAGGCTTATTCTATTTCTCCGAAGTTGAAATTTCGTCTACTTTCGAAATGCCAATACGACTCAAAAATTTTCCTTTATTTATGATGTAATAGAGGTAGGATACACTGCCTCCGATACAGATAATCTTCACAAATATTGTTCTACCAAAACTATTCGTTATAATATTGCATTATTTCAATATGAGCAGTCGCCGAAAGAGAGCAGTGCTTTCACGGGCGCCAGTGCTCCGGACGTTACGCCAGACAACGAGAACAGTATGTAATAATATTATTAATTTATCTATTGTTACTCTTGTTATTGGTTTATATCATATATTGTAGTTTATTTGACGGTTTAATGTTTAAATCGTTTTTTACTCATTTTATACTGAAAATGCTAAAATGCTTGAACTAGGTGATTCTAATGCACAGTGCATTGAACCTGAATTAAAAGCGATTCTTACTGTCATACACGAGTTTATCGGTGTGTACGAGGGTCAAACTGAAAGTTCTTAGAAAATCAAAAACTGATTACATTAGCCAGTTATTAGTTTTATTATATCTTTTCAAAATATTGTCCATTCACGTCAATACACCGCTGCATGCGATGGAACCACTGGGAAAAGCACTTTGCCCACTCGTCCTTAGGGGTCTCTTCAATGGCATCGCGATACGCAGCCACCGCTTCTTCAGCATTCATAAACCGCTTTCCTTTAAGTTTTTCTTTAATTTTTGGAAATAAATAAAAATCACAAGGCGCGAGGTCGGGGCTATACGGCGGGTGACCCAGTAATTCAACGTTTGATGTCGCCAAATAGTCGATCGTTCGCTTGGCGGTGTGCGACGAGGCGTTGTCGTGGTGAAGGAGGATCCTACTGCGAGGTCGTTTCTCTCGAACTTTTTCCAAGACAAGTGGCAAACAATTGGTAGTGTACCATTCTGCAGAAACTGTTTTTTGATCCTCTAACACAATTGTTGCAAAATGACCTATCCTTCCAAAGAACGAGGCCACCATTTTTTTTCCCGCACTTCGATCTCTCTTCACTTTAGTTTGCAACTCCTCGAAAGGAAACACCCACTGAGCAGATTGTCTTTTGGTTTTAGGATCATAACAGTAAATCCAGCTTTCGTCACCTGTTAGTATGTCGAACACAGCATTTGAGTCACCTCCGTTAAATCTTTCAATCATTTTACGACACCAATCCACACGATGGAGTTTTTGAGCCTCAGTCAAATTATGAGGTATCCACCGGGCGCAAAGCTTCCTGACCGCTAAATGTTCGTGGAGGATTTTGTGCACTTGACTCATACCGATGCCTAAGCTTGTCCGAATCTGTTGATAGGTCACTCTTTTGTCAGTCTCTATCATACGCCGCACAACACAGATGTTATCTTCAGTCGTCGCCGTAGAAGGCCGTCCCTCACGTAAATCATCAGTGAGATTAGTGCGACCACGTTTAAACTCATTAAACCAGTTGTAAACAGTCGCACGAGATGGGGCTTCATCGTGAAAGGCCAATCGTAGTCTATCATAACTTTCTTGTTGACTTAAATGACATCGAAAGTCATAAAAAATCATTGCACGAAAATTTTCTCGTGTTAAATTCATGATGACGTGACACAGACAATTTTCAATATGCCGCCAAATCGTAAAACAAATGACAAATGAATGAAATATATACTCAGTAATATTGGCAAAGAGTTATATTTTCAAATTTTAGAATTATTTTTTTATTATATTGTTTATAAGTGGCCAGTTCTAAGAACTTTCAGTTTGACCCTCGTAATATATGTGTTAAGTATTTATATAATTTTCACACTTGTGGCTATACAAATAATAGAGCTAGTCTTTATATGAAATATAAATAAATTGAATCACAACATTGAAATAGTATGAAAAAAGTAAATTGTGTCAAAATATATAAATAAAAGTTTTGACAACCAAGACAGTTGAGGGGCATTTAACCGCAAAAAAAAATTTCGTTTGAGTAGAATTGAAGCTGGATGCAACATTTCGAACAAATGACATCTGGCACGTTATATTCATTCAACTTTAACACACATCGACCCGTCACAATGTCACATTTCCTAAGTCGAGTTAGTTTCTAGTCTAGTAGTAGTATCAAGTGGAGAAATTTGACAGTTTTGCATAATCTGACATGCTGTTGACTGTACAAAAATAGACAGTAAACTCCATTTTATAATATTTAAGTGCATTTTTATTAGACTTACAGTCAGGTGCACAAACGTCCATTAAAATTGTCATTAGTTTAAAGCGACATTACCTATACAAATTTCACATTCATTAAAGTTTAAAGGCGTCATTAAACCGTAATGGACATTTGTGCAACTGACCATTACATATTAGTAGTTGGTCCTTCGAGCTGGATACGAACAATGACATTATTGGTTTACTTTCAGAAAAAATATTTGAATCATCCGATACGAGCAACACTCCATACAATCCAGAATTCATGGCTGTCAAAAAGGAACCAACTACCGATAATAATTAACGCCTGACCATATATATAACTGTTAGTAACAAAATGGCAGCTTCGCTAAATCGCCGTTTCATTTTCAGATATTTTATACATAAATGTAGTATTAGAAATAAATGTAATACCTATTAAAGGGCTAAATCTGCGGTTCTACCACATAAATAAAGCACTGATTGACCTGTCAAAATTAAATCTTGAATGATCGATCAGGTTAACAGATCAACTGTCGGCAGACACAATAAGAATTGATCTGACCATCGTATACCAATCCAGATTCGTGTGCTGATAGTAGATCTGATAGCCTGGCAAATCATTCATTTTGTAATTTGAAGATTAGAAAATTCAAAATTTGACATATCAATCACGCCTAAAGTTAAGCGGTAGAGTCACTGATGAGATACCTAAGACCGTTTGTTGCCGAGGCGGCCATAACAACTAAAAACTGCACTTTGACGTTTGTCCCGTCATCGTTTAGTTCTAGAATGTAGTGAATAAGTGATGGTGTTTCTAAAAACGAATCGATAAGATATTTTAGAATATATTAAAACTCTGAAATCGATAAAAAAGAGTCAGAAATAAATGAAATTAAATAATTATTTATTGTGTAAGCGAAAATAACAAAAATGATAATATTATATGTTTTGAAATTTAAAGTTTAAAAGTTAAATACGCTGAGTAGGCTATCAAACACAGCCCGCCTTTTTAAGGTCGTAGCACACTAACATGATCGGCATTCTTGAACTCGGCGATTTACTTCCCGGAGCATTTAATCATCCTATTAATATTATAAATGTGAAAGTTTCTTTGTTTGTATGTATGTCGTCGGTCTGTATGTCGGTCAATCACGCCGAAAATACTGAACGGATTTTAATGAAATTTGGTATACAGATAGGGTATTAGCTGATTAGATAATAGGATACTTTTTATCCCACTTAACATTTCCCTTGTTACCCTTGGTTAATTAATTTCGATTGTTATTGTAAATGTAAAAATGCCAATGACAGCTGTCAACTTCAAAGTTTTGGTATGAAATGTATTATATCCCACTAATATTATACAGGCCAAGTCTATAAGTTTACATATTTGTTAACGGATTTTTATAAAATTTGGTATACGGACAATTCTAAGCCTGGATTAACACTATTTATCCCACTAAACAGTTCCCTAGGGACCACGTGGGCAAAGCTGCTGGCGGAAATCTAATAAATAGTAATAAACTTCATTGCGTACTTACTTAAATAGGACATATTACAAACAGAACGTCGAAAAACAGTACACTTACACCGGCCTTATTACTTTGCAACTATTTCTTCCAGGCAATGGTACATACGATTTAATGGTCAAAGGGAAACGCCCATTCACCCTACAAAAAATGCCTAAATGGACAAAGATGAAGTCTATGTTTAATAAAACTTCAAGAACATAAAACCATAACAATTTAATTTATCATTCAAAAACTAGAGAAAATGAAGTATGAAATTTTTTTTTAAAGATAGGTTTTGGCCAAGTAAACGATTAAGATTAATAAATTATACATATAAATTTAAACGACAGATTAATTGCTGAGTTAGAGCTGTGCTGTTTAGGTATGCTATGACCCTTAGACGGCAATGCTTAAATAAAAATAATGTTTAAGTTAAGTAAGAGTTTGTTATAATTTACACGAGTAGAATTTGTTATTGGAATAGGTAAACACAATTATTGATATATTGGAATAGTTGGATAATTTTGCTTTTATATAAATTCATTGGTTATTGTTTTTCATTGAAATTTTAGTTATAATAAGCGCAAATATAAATTTTATAATATTGCTCGTTAATTAATAAGACATAAAGCGGTTATTTAAGTGTTTACGGATTTGAACTATGACATACCCAACAGTTTAAAATATATGTCAATACCACGGTGTTTTGTTTAATGTTTGCAGTGTTTTTACTTTATGTTCAAGTACATACAAAATATATTTTAAGAAATAACACAATATAAAACATCATGGATATATAATTTTCTGTTGTAATCTGTAATGTTCAGAGTATTGCCATATCTCTTCTATTTATTGTTTAATGGTTATGGTAGTATTGCAATTTAAACAAAATTTTAGTCACAACCTTACAACCCATAGACTAGAGTTCTAAAGAACGCATTTAATTTGAAATCTTAACACTATATTATTATATAATCGAATTATCAAATATTTAATCACGTTTTTATTTGTTTTATATAAATTAAGTTTATAATGTTTGTTAGGTTTTTTTTATATGGAAGTTGTAAAATTTACATATAAGTCAAATAATGATTCAGAATCATCTTAGAAAATACAAGCAATGGTGGTTAAATAATACAATTAGTGTTTATTAAAAGTCTATTTTGATCTCTAATGTAATTAACAAATTATATTTTACCATATATTTGTACAACGGTTTTTATATTAATGTTACCTCTTTGAGACGCCTTATAATGTGCCATTATTGTGAAATATAAAATTTTTATACGTAAAAGTAATACATGCTGAGATGTTGTGAGTAGTGGCGGCTATGATTTATGGCTTTATCGTTAGACGGTGTCTGCCACGTTTTAGATCGTAGCTCATATTACCGGACGCATCAAAAATGACACTTGTGATCAAATAAAGCAGCATTGATAGCCCTATTCTGATCCATAGAACTCTGGGAAATAAAAACAATTATGTAAAGGTGTCGTTCAAACTTATATATATATTTTTGCTCTCGTCGCGTCGTCAATTAAAACTACATTTTATGCTTTAAAAATAGTTTATAACGTTAAAATCCGGTTAAAAGCGTTACAACTAGAGATGGGCCAAGTACTCTGTTGATACTCGGTACTCGGCGTACTCGGCGGGTTTTTGGATACTCGTACTCGACCGAGAAACTCGATATGAATGCCGAGAATATTATTTTTTTTTTAAGAAAAGCAATATATTTCGGTAGATATAATTAAAACAACAGTGTTAATCAGAAAGTATTTATTACTACTTTCTACCAGGAATTTAGTATTGGTTGTCTAAAGCGATCATCTCTGCTACAGTTTTGTGAATTTTTTAGCACGCCAATAAGTTATATCCCTTTTTGAAGTAAATGATTCGATAAGGGTTTGCTGTATTTTCATTGCATTCGATTGCGACGGCTTACGATTTTGAGATGTTTCCCGAAAAGTTTCATTTTCCAAATCTTTAAACGCTTCTGCGTTTTATTTTAACATGGTTTAACATTGTCGTCGTAGAAGCCTTACTATCAAGTGACTAGTAGTTGAAAGGTGCGGGCTGGGTGAGGGGTGTATCAACGCTAGCCGCCTTCTCGACCGACATGAACCTGTATGTACTTCTTTACGCGCTCGAGATGGGGATTTAATAAAACCGAGTTACTCCGCCGAGTACTCGGTTGAAAAAAATTAAACCGAGTTAAACTCTGTACTCGTTACTCGGCAAGTGTTACTCGGCGCATCTCTAGTTACAACATATATATTTGTAATAACACTTTATTGTTTTGATACATTTGTGTTTTATGTTAATATTTAATGAATAATAGGCAGAGAAGTTTTCAATCTTGAGACCCACCTCTTAGCTTTCTTAGACAAATATATATATATAGGTAATGCTGTTATCTAGCAATATTCTCAGAAAAGTGGCAAAGTCGTGGAACTTTTAAAGCTGTTTTACTTGTTATAATTGTAATAAAGAAAATATCAGTCAGTTGCACAAACGTTCATTAAAATTGTTAGTAGTTTAAAGCAACATTACCTATACAAATTTGACATTTATTAGAGCTTGAATGCGTCATTATACCTTAACGGCGTATCGTCCACTAGGGCTCATTAAATATTCGATCCTATTTTAAGTCACTAGTCTTAGTCCTAGTCTTAAGAAGCACTTTTTTTGGAATTTTTTAATGCATAAATGTTTACGTATAAGTGCCTCGTAGAATGTAATGTATACAATTTATTTAGCGATTTTAAACCGCATTAAAAGTGTAAACCAACTATGATTAACAAATACTATTAATAACGTACACTATTTTTAAGAAATCTTACAAGTTTGTAACACCTACAGAAACTATACAATCCGATAGTTAATTAAGTAAATATCTGACATATATTCATATTTGATATGTAAAGTTCATAACACAGATATCATATACTTAAACATAAGCTAAATAGGAAACTTAAACCATTTTCGGTTTGTCTTCATACGTTTCAATATTATTAATGTCAAGTACAAGATTGATTGCAGCTATGTTACTGTAGATATTATTGAAATAACGTTATCTATGAAATATTTCAATGTAAGAACTGTTTGTTGTTATAATAAAAAGCACAAATGAGCGCCTATTTAAATCCTAAGTGAAATTATTCTTGTATAATTCATACGTTGTATGATGAATTTACTTAATGATACCTAGTGACTACTGTAATACGTTTTTAAGTGTTATAATGTAACTAGATAAAACATCTACCTCAAATAATGTAATTAATCTTTCCACATTTAGTAATCGGTGTAATACGTCGATATTTCATAAAACAAATGACAATTACGCATTTTTGTTATTTAACTATGCATGCAAATATTGAATACCTATTAACTGTCCTGCCGCATATAAGTACTTAGTTAAAAATAATAATTGTATACGCATTATTGGTTTTCTCGGATTCATACGAAATTTGACCTACATTTTGTATTTCAACTGTTTACTTCTTTTACACTATTGAATAGTCTGTTTTATCTTTTATTCAATTAATTCCCAGATTTGTCAATATGAAATAATTAAAACGGACGAAAATGTAAGTAATGCGCATGGGCATTTAATATTATGTTATATATAATAATTGGTCATTCTTCCGACAATAATGGTGTATTTGTAAACACGTGCTGATTCGGAAAATTTAGAGAGTAAATTATTCAATATGCATGCGACATAATAATATTATTTGTATTTTGTTAATTACCCATTGAAATTAACATACAAATATTTTACCATCTGTAGATCAACTTTTATCAGTGGCAGAGATTGAAGCAAATCAATTCCAAAAACGTTGCATATATCACGTCAAACATTTTAAATAATAGTATACAAACAATTATTTTATATTTTGTTAAAAAAATATCACTTCAAGGGTCTATGCAAATCTTGTGAAAGATCGTCAAGCGTCTCACGGAAGTATGCGTTAGTACGCGTCGCAACTTGAAGTACAAACTCGAATGTTCTATCTTAAAATTTGTCAGTTCTGACGTTTTGCGACGCATCTTCCATCAGATATGCACCAAATCTTAAAAAAAAACACTTATTTTTCTACTATACTCTTGTTATTTTATTGAAATATATTTTTACTAGTTTTTTTATCGAATATACTACTTCAAATATACTTGTTGGTATTTTCTTTCAGAACTAATTAGCTTACCCCGCATGCTTGTACGACGGTGATCTAAAACTTTAGAGTACTTATATTTAAATAGCCAGTTGCACAAACATTTATTAAGGTTTAATAAATAGAGCCTAATGCATGTTCTAATTTTTATATTGTTAATGTCGATAATGGATATGAAATATAAAAATGTTCGCGTCGCGTAGCTGTAATATTCGTCGATGGTAATCGAACGTTACGACTCATTTTCATTGAATAGCTAAATTTTCAAACAATGACATGAATCCACAGAGCAGTGGCGGATTAAGGGTTGGGGGCGGTCTACCACGGACCTCCGGTCCTCTGGGGTCCTCCAAATGGACTGCAGATTGTTGGTCCCGGCCTATTGGCGCCGAGCCTCTGATGAGGATATTCCGCCACTGCCACAGTCGGTGGTAATCAGCATACGGACCAAGAGTTCATGTTCCTTGATTTTGAAAATCCTACTGATTACTTGTTAAGGCTGGCTATAAAAGCAAAATACTCCCCATTTTTTTACAAAAAAGAAACAACAATATCTATTTTCAACATTATATAATTTGTCATGGTCGAAAACACATGGTATAGACATCTATAAAAATAATATATAGTAACTGTGTACATTGTAAATAAATTTGTGCTTAAGACTAGAAGTTATAATTAATTATAATTTATATGAATTTGACATATAAATTATAAAAAGCACCATGAATTGTACATTTGTTTTTAAAATAAAGTTTATAAACCTAATTTTAAATGGCTTTGAACTTTATTGTTTCTAAAATTTTGTCAATCAAGGCTCTAAAACTGTATTTTGTTAAATATGTTGCCCATATATCGACAAACGTAAATCAGGTATATGTATGTATATAGCTTCACCTAAAATATACATTCTCGATAACTAGTATTTGGTATTAAAGTAAAATATTAATATTTGTGTAACACACAAATTATTATATGAACTTATACTAGCTAAGTAAAAAAGTTAAGAAAACTGACGTATGTTTTTTATATAAGTTAAATGCCAGATGAGAATACAAGAATATGGCACCAACTTTTAAACATTTGTTTCTTTCAGCCCATTGTTAGTAGTATTTAGTAATATTTGAGACGAAAATGAAAATATAATTATAAATTATATAACACAAAATACATTGATATATTAGTAACTATTTAACGAGTAGACTAAGAAAAGAAAAATAACTACAGTAGATTCTTAAAGTATAATAAAATAAATGCAAAATGTTAGATGAATATAAAATAAAATAATTACACCAACTGTGAAAATCTTATCTACAGGTATACGGTCATCTTCATTATCGATATACAGCATACTAATAAGAGTTAACACTCGACCGTTTCAGTGCACATTCATAGTATGCAATAATAATGGTCCCTATTGTATGCGTTACAAATAAATTCCACAGTTCGCATGCGGGCTTTTATAAAGTAATAATAATACCGAATGCGGACGCTATAGCATGCTCTAAAGTGGCTACTTTTGGTTATGTAAAGTAAATAATTAAAACAAAACCCATTCAATCGGAGGTATAGAAAAAGATATTCCCATTCTTCCTACCAATCGGTTTTCCGATCGAAGGACTGACAATAACCCTTAAATGATATATCTAACCCTTAAAAGATATATCACACACCTCGCACCGTATGCGAGACTTATCGATCAATGAAAATGCACTTGTAAGGGTAAATGTAATCCTGAGTAACGATTACATTTAATAGAACTTTACTCTGGATTTAATATAAGATATTGCAATCGTCATTATAAATGATGTTGAGATCGATAGATATTTAGCATACTCGCCCTTAAAAAAGAAAATTTCGAAAATATATCTCGTACCTATATAGAATTTTATTTATAAACAATATATCCGAACATGAACACGTAACACTACAAAGGCGGCGCGGTTGGCGAATAATGAGGTGTAGGGACAGTAGTGAGCCCTGGATACTGAGGAGTGAGATTCTGGTTTGTATTATGATATATTATATTAGGGTACACAGAAACCGGTGGGTTCGGATAACCAGGCTTATTTTGATAACCTGATTGGTTTTGATAACCGGGTTGGTTTCCATAACCAGGTTGGGTTAGATAACCAGGTTGGTTATGATAGCCAGACTGGTTCTGATAACCCGTGTTGGGCGGCTGGGTGTTGAGTTGCTGCGATTTGAAACTTTCGTTCAAAGTTGCTGGAACCGGTTTCACAAAACCGATTTGATTCTTTTCAGTTGCCGCGTAGTTTGAAGCTGGAACGCTGGGATAATCCGGGATAGGTCCGGATGGCAGACTATGCGCCATCGGATGAACGTAATCACCTTTGCCGAAAGTACTGACTGGTTTCAGACCGACGTAGAACGGCGATGTCTCCACGAGATCGTTGTGGCAACCGGGTAACTTCACGGTTACCTATAAAAATGATTTCATATTTCATTATTGATTAATCATAGGTACATTTTTTATTAGATGATTTTGATTCTTTTCATTAATATAAATTTTGGCAGGATATGGGTAATGTAAATAAAAATTGTTATAAGTGCATTAATATAAAAATATGGATTGCAGGAAGAGCACCTTAATGATTATAGTTACATGAAAACGTAACTAGGTAACTATCCATAACTTTTTAAGAAATTTTGCACTGCATTCGCAGATTTCCATGTTGTCATGCGAGGATTAAAACATTATATGGGATTGTTGAGGTATGAGTAGTTAGGTACTTGAAGTGATAGAAAATCACCAAAAAAAATACATACGATTGAGAACGTGAGTTTTTTAAGTTATTGAATGAACGATATCGTAATTTGACGTCAATTTTCGACACAAATATTTTTGAAAACTATTGAGAAATGGCAAACAAGCTAACTGCAATCTTTCGATGGGTTTAACTAAGTTTTTATTATATTTCTTGATCATTCAAATCATCAATAAGCAATTTTGAAAGTTACATAATTCAATAAATAGTTATCATAGTCGCTATACCTTTTAAAGAAAATATATACATATTCTTTCGCTTTAATTTAAACAAGAAATATCTAAGATAATAGGCATTAAAGTTGAGTGGGGGCTCGCTACGTCATAGTTTTGTAGAAAATATTCTAAAGCGTGCCGTCACGCGACATTCGCCACCGTAAATTATTGATTACGTAAAAAATGAAAAAGTGTTTAACATTCTTCAATAATCTACATGACGGACAAACAAACAAAAATTTGCGGCCATTCCTATCTCTACCAGGCTTTCCTTGGCTAAGAGGAACTATACCAATTCAGGAAAGCAACTGAGGGCTAGTGCATTAGAGAATTAAAGAGTGAGGATACATATTAACATAAGAAATAAAAACAAAACGTTCTCGAGTTAGTCATCACCTCACCCAGATAGACAACCTTTTTTTTTACATTACGCATACTCGCTTCACCCTGCGCGGGTTTTGCCTGCACCAGAACGAGGGCTGGTCAAAGAACAGGGTCATACCTACTAAAACTCGGCGATGTCCATCTCCACGGGGAACGACGCGCGGTAACGGTCTCAAGGGGACCACTTTTTTTTATGGGATAGGGGGCAGACGATCAGACGGATCACCTGATGGTAAGTGATTACCGTCGCCCACGGACATCTGCAACACCAGAGGGGCTACAAGCGCGCTGCCGGCCGAAGGGAAGGGAAGGGCCTGGAGGGAAAGGTTGAGGGGTAGAGGAAAGGGAATAGAGAGGGGTTGGGCCTCCGGTACCCACACTCACACGACGAAACACAACGCAAGCGTTGCTTCACGTCGGTTTTCTGTGAGGCCGTGGTATCACTCCGGTCGAGCCACCACGGGTTAGGAGAAAGGCTCAGGAACGTTCGATTCTAACCCCCCCCCAGACAGGACAAGGGGCGTGTAATGCCCGGCGAGCGCGCTAACCCGGCAGACTGTTCCTCATCAAGAGTAAGAGATGCGCAACTGGGCATATCCTATCCAAATCCGTCTATACCATACCTACCTTGAAGTAGTAGTGAAGGTCCATGATGTTGCAGTGTTGGAGGTTGGGCGAGATGATGTCTGGCAGCGGCAGCAGCAGCTGGTAGTTTCGCTGCACACCACTCATAACAGGACTGCTCTTCACTGTCGCCAACTCTTCGTCAGGATTCGACGCCTCCGATACAGGATGCTGACTGCGGAACCGCTGCTTCTGTAAATAATACAGAACGTCTATACCTACATTATCAGATACCTAAGAGTACCTACAACCCTTGCATAATAGTAATCGAAAACGAAAATTTCCCAATACCCGTACCTGAGACGATATAAATAAAACTAAATGTTTTCTTGTTTTACAATAAAATAAAAATTTTACTTCTTTTATACCCGCGCGAAAAGTAAACGATTTGGCTAAAAAGAAAAAGGTATAAATTATGATAATAATGCGATTTTATGACTCACAATCAAAACACCTGTATCTGTTTATTTCAATGTAAAATTTAGTTTGTGTGCAATTTCGTGATTTATTTTTATCTATTGCCACTCATTATTTTAAGTTTATTTTTTGTTCCATATTTGTGCGACTCTATTTGAATCCGGAGAGGGACTAAGCAATTAAGTATTGTAATTTAGAATACCTCTGAAATTTGTGCAGAACCATAAAAAAGAAAATTTATCTATGGCATGCTACTTAGAAAACGTGATATAGCCAAAGGCCTTTTCTCACAATATCCATACACATACACAGACTCTTTAGGGCAAACGTAAACTTACAGAGAACAGCTGAACGACAACGGTCTGTATCTCTACGCGGGTGTCATTCCTTGCCCGCACGTCGACTGGCAGCAGCTGCCCGGGGCACGCGCCCGCCGCCGCCGCCTCAACCTCCACGTGTAGCGGTCGCCCAGAACACACGCACCCGCCTACCACCTGCTCCTCTATACTTATCTTCAGGGGCTCCTGGCCAACAAACCATCCCAGATCACATTAGGTCTTATTCCTATAAAGACGCCATCTCCGCTAAAAAAATTGCCATGTATTTATTGTAAATAGATGTCGGTAACAAAATGAATACATCTGAAAGTGTTCCCCCAAATAAAAACAGCATCTTGTTCACATAAGTTGCCAATTTTAATTTGTCGATTAATGATAATAAGTTAATGATAAATTCATAATTATAGTTTTTTGATCCTCTTTATGTAACTGTTGAAATTCGAAGCGACCACTGATATAAAGAAGAACGATTTCAACAACACTGTCGCATTATTAACTGCCCCACTTTGGGCGCCAACTAACCGAAATAAAGGCCAAGTCAACCACTGATATTGAATTTATCATTATAATTATAATAGTTGAAGACTGAATACATCCTTGGCTTGAAAAATTCAATTTTAATAAAATCTTCGAATTTAGGACACTTTTAGTTTGGGAATAAAAATATGTTATTTCTAATTATATATTAAAAATGTTTTATTTACAATCATTGCATGAAGTTTGACATTTACAATATTATATCAAGTAAGTAAAAGTGTTCAAGTGAATCGTTTTATAGTCTTATGATTACCTACTTTATTTCATGACATTTACCTTTATACGCGGATCCAGCTTATTCAAATCAAGTGGAGCGACCATTTCGAATATTTTGACGAGCTCTCCTCTCGCCTTCGTGACATCAGAATACTCCAGGTATGCCCTTATCTCATAAGATATTTCTCCCTTGTCGGCTTTATAAGTCGACGGGCAAGTTAAAGGTATTTGAAACTGAAACGGGACAGAGTGCGGACCAGTCTTCAATTCAGTTACACCTGAAATTTTTTTAACTTTATAATATAGTAAAATAATAATACTATATATATATCAAGACGCAGTAGCTTCACTATTTAAATAATGAATCTCATCATCAGCCTATTAAACGTCCCCACTGTTGGGTACAGACAGAGAAATAGAACCATATCGAATAAGGAGAATGGGCCATGACCTGCAGATGCAGCCGGGACCAGTGGCTTAATGAGCCTTACGAACCACCCATCCTATTGACGGCACTTACAAAAGTTGCTTAACTTTCACATTACAGACTGCACGCCCTAATCACTGCACCAGCGAGCTTCTTTAAGCACTTTGGCTTGAAATTGATATATAGTAGTGTTTAAAATGTATATTAAATGGAACGAATTTAATGTTTTCATCTTATTAGATATTTGTTTTATACCTAATATGCATAAGTGTTGCAATAGAAGCTCCCATGTTTCAAATTCCACTTCAAATAAGAGATAAATTTTATAACTATTTTAAAGCGTTTATCAGTAACATTATAGAATATAATATATCGTGGCACGTCAGGGATTATCATTTTTGCATATCCTGGTTAACACCAGACGGAAATAATTTCATTTATCATCAAATAGGTCAAAGAGTATAATTATAGGTTTTTACAATTTTTTTTCAAATGCGAAACACTAGTATGAATATATAATAGTGTTTCCCGTTTGTCGGGTCACGACCTAGCACCGGACTATTAAAATAAAATACTGGGTCGCAACTTTCCCGCCGAAATTTAGCTCATAAAGTTAGCAATAACTTTTTCAATGCCTTTTGTCACAACTTATAAATGTGAAGCTGGGTTTTCAATTCTAGTTTAGGTACCTTAAAAATAAATATAGAAACCAACTTGAAGTGGAACCTAAAGATAAAACTTTCGTTATATTCCGCGAAATTGGATTCTTTAGTATATCTCAGTTTTATTTACCAAAAAAATATCTTTTGGGTTTAAAAATATTAAGTGGGTCAAGAAGAGGCAGTGTGAAAATTACGGGGCCATAGCAGAACATTATTTGGAAAACACTGATCTATTACAATGGGTATGTTCCGATATACACTGCGACCACTGAACAGTATGACGTCAATTTAGTATACTGGAAGCCCGTTCCTTTATAGCTAGTTATACTGGTGACTTTTTAAAACGGAACGCAGTCCAGTATACTGTTAATCCTATTTTTTGGCGCCATTTTCAAATTTGTTAATGCAAGGTGAATATAAATATAAAGATTCCCTCTTTTCAAAAGAAAATTGGAAAATTGTATAAAAAAATTATTTATCAATTAAATCCATCTTATAAATAAACGTAAGTATTTTTTTTTTTTGTTTATTTAGAAACTTATAATTTTCTGATTCTGTTTCGACTAATCACGTGATCAAAAGCACTGCGAGCACCTTACCTCGAAATCTCCAGTGCTCACAGTACAAATATGGCGGCAATTTATGGCGTCATAAATTTCCCTAGGGTACTGTAGCAGTGTACTGGCAGTCCATAACGGAACGGATTTTTCAGCAGTAAGACCATTGCGCAGTGCTCGCAGTGTATATCGGAACATACCCAATATAATAAAGAGGTAGTCTCTAACTTTTTTGTTTGTATAAGGTAATCTTCAGAAATACTTATCGGATCATGAAAATTCTATCACCTACCGGAAGCTACATCATCTGCGGGTGCTATAGGCTATATATAATTAACGCGGGCGTAGTTGCGGGAAAGCAGCCATTTTGTTATCACATTTAACTCGATGACAGTAACATTGTATGTTATCGCACTTTTAGTGTCCGTGGATCACGAGGGGGGGTGATAGGTGACAATCAGTGTCAGCCCTAGCTGACGAATGCTGAACAAGTCACCCTTTTTAGTGTCGTCATGGGACACTTAACCTTGTATTGTTCTATTTATTGTTAATTACATTAATTGTGTCCTGTGCCTGTATCAGAATGAATAATTTGAATTTTAAATAATAGAAACAAATTCAAATAGAAAACCAGTTATTACCTTGCCCTCCCATTAGGCACTGGACGTTATTGAAGTACTGTTCCTGAGCTTTGTAGTCCACCCTGGTCTTAAATGTGGTCCCGTGTCGTTTCTCCTTCTCTATCTCGGTCCACAACACCTTGGCCACACCAAGGTACTGGATATTCAAGGCTGCAATTTTTTTTTAAATATACGAAAATGTAATTTCCGATCACTTGTCACACAACATGAAACCTTTTGGATTGGTATAATCTATAATAATATTATTTAATTTAAAAATAATTTTGACCATAGGAATTAAATATAGCCTAAAGAAATAATATTTCATCGAAAAAGTTTGAAAAGTGACCAAAGAACTTGGAAAACTAGAAAAGTACTTCAAAAAGTTGCCAACGAAATTAGAATGTCTACATAAACTTAGTATTAATGTATAATAAACCAAGCTTCTTAATAGTAAGCTCTAGCTGCTCTAGATATTAAATAATAACTTAACCACTTCATATCCACCATAATTTTTATGATTTCTTTATATCAAAAGATATGATAAGATGCACAAAAGATATCTAAGCAATGAATACATATAAAAACTAAAAAAAATACGTGACAAAGTCCAAATACAGAGTGAAAAAATATTCCTGTTAGGATTTTGGAATTCAAAAACAATGTTAACTGATGCAATGTACGTATACTCATAGTTTCGAAAAAAGAAATACATTCATTGGCATATTCTAAAGTTAATGCCTTCCCAAGCCCGGTGCGATTTTATGTCTCAAAATCAGAATATTTATTTCAGTGTAAATTTTAATTTATTATTAAATTGTATATTTCGTGTCTTATTTTTATCTAATTGTCAATTGCCTCTCATTACGAAATTATTCAACTCAACTTGAATAATAACCTTGAATCATTGAACAAAATAGTTTCATTATAGAGTTGCCTGACAATGAAATAAAAACAGTTTCAAATATTCATTCTAAGTTTAAATATCCTCGCATTCTAATTTTAAATGCGGCTTAATGAACGAAATTTTTCTGGAAATAAAAAAAATTGCGGAATAGAAATAAAGGTAATAAGAAAAATAAAGTCGTGATTTTTCACTACCGAGACTACCCTATTGATGTGTGTTACATACCCGTAATTTTTTCAGAACTCAATAGCCTAAATGTGATGTCACCAGTGATGGTCTGGCCAGAATAGTATACGTTGTTGTGGCTATTCAATTTTATAGCACCATTATTGAATCCCACATCCATTTCGAAATGAGTTGAGATGCAATCCTATGGAGATAAAAATAGATCAATTAAATATATAGTTTTCACATAAAACTATATACCTATATAACTTTTTTCAATTAAACCTAATCTGTGGTATGTTTACACTAAACAGAGTTCGAAAAAATACTTTTATAATATACCTAAATACTTTGTTTAAAATTTTCTGATATCATTAAAATTGTTTACAACATATATATGATTACTTATGAATTAATTTATCAATTAAGGCAATCATCAACATCAGCCCTTTACGTCCAGACTGCAAGGGCTCACTTCTTCCTGCGATGAGCCTCCACGCTGGCCCAATGCGGATTTGAAGGTATTAACAACTGCAAATGCGACCGGCCCCCTAATTGTCTAATTTTAAATCTATTGCAATCGCTTTCAGTTTGAAAGGTGTTGCACAACCATTGCTGCATAATACAAATACTTTTTTTTCAACTGTCTTCAGAAACAAGCAATGGTTGTGCAACACCTTTCAAACTGAAAGCGATTGCAATAGATTTAAAATTAGACAATTAGGGGGCGGGACCAACGGCTTAATGTGACTCCCCAAGAATGGATTAGCTGAAGATAATAATTTGTTGGTCCTATCCCCTTGCGAAAGTTGCTTAATAAACAACGATCACAGGCCGCGGCACTTATCCACTACACCACCGAGCTAATCAAGGCAATGGTTTCGTGAATATTATGAATAACCTACACAAATTTTAAAATGCAACTGACACCATCTAGTGATGGCTATAGAAACTAAGCAATTAATCTTATTTATGAATTTTAATAGTATAAAATATTTGAACATACAGAAAAATTTTAAGTCAGTGTACAAAATTGAATATTAATAAGTAGGTAATTAATTGGTATGCCATTTTAAACTTTGTTAAGTAAAAAATAAACAGCCTGTAAATTATTTGGCAAACATATAAATAATAGGGGTTAAAGTCTGAAATTGCCGATTTGTAGTGAAAATCAAAATTGTTTAATTTTTAACAAATTTATTTAAACAAAATATTTACCATTATTATCTATACATTACTGCCATCTAATAGGAAGGTCATTTATGCCTTTGCGATAGAACTCTGAGGATCTAGACTGCACTAACTATGTGAAAGCATTTTGTACTGCCTCCTGGGAAGAAAACTTCTTGTCACGTAGATAATTGTCCAAATCACGAAAAAAATGGTGGTCCGTTGGAGCAAGGTGTGGCGAATACGGAAAATGACGAATGGTTTCTAACTGCAGTTCCTGAAGGGTCAAAACGGTTTCTCGTGCTGTACCTATGAGGTCTCGCGTTGTCATGAAGCAATAATGATGGATCGATTCATGTTTTACTGCCAGTTTTGCCAACATTGTTCGGAGTTAGGCACAATAGACATTTGCCGTTATTGCTTAACCAGATCGGAGAAAACTATTGTGAATAACACCTTGCTGAGACCACCAAACACCATTATTACCTTTTTATTAGTAACATTTGCTTTAGGACACTGTTGTGGCGTTTGACCTGGGGTCAGCCATTGCATTTTGCTTTTACGGTTATCATAAAAAATCCACTTTTCATCACTTGTCACAATTCGATCAAATATTCCTTCATTTCTGTACCAATTTCAACAAGGCAACACAAGTTTCAAGGCGCGTTTCTTTCTGCAGATCAGTCAAATCATGAGGCACCCATTTTTCGTAATTTTTTATTTTGTCAATATTTTTGGTAAGGTAACGTTAAACCATGCCGCTAATTCCTGGGTAGTTTGACTAGGACAGCATCTTCCTCATGGCTCGTTCTTCAAGTTGAAGTTTTCATCACGAAAGCGTTTACACAAAAATCGCACGATTCGTTCGTTAGCAGACCAAAGACTAGTGTCAGGGAAACCACTCCCCAAACGCAATATTGCGGAATGTTTCTGCCGCGTCGGAACTCGTATTCAAAAATCACTCGAATTTTCGCAGTATCCATCTTTCATGTCTAAGTTGAATAACAAAAACAATTGAAAGTGGATATTCAAATGTTTCACATTTTTTAAAAGAAGAACATCTGAAAAATCTTTCTTTCGAAAACCTCAAACCATGAAGATTCTATTTTAATTCAAGGTACCTATTACGATAAAACTGCAATTTCATACTTTACCCCTAACATTTTGCCAGCAAAAATAAAAATCAGGCAGCAATTATTCATTTGTAAACAATCATGATAATGGACAGTAATTTAATCCTTTGTAGGTAGAATATATTATTATGTGTCTGCCTATTAAACTGTCAAGCCACAAATAATTATTTGGTCACCAAGATTATGCAATTGGGCAGCAAACAAAAAGATTACTATATGCAATGCAGACTGCTTTTTATATTGAAAAATTAGAAATTGTTAAATAAAAGTGGGTGCATGCCAACAGAAGAAAATCGCATATTCAGGGATAATATGACAAATAGTAGAATTGATGACATCAGTAATAAAATCAATGAAAATAGTTACTGTTAATTAGTTCCACACTATGAATTGGCTATGGAATGCTGAAGTGATAATGAAGAATTGGTTATTAAGAAGAAAAGAAAACTATATTGAGACTGAAAGTTATTTCAAAAGTCTTATAAATAACATAAAATATATGTGAGAAGTGTACTTGTTTTGTGCACGACAAGTGTAATATTTTCCCTAAACTCATATAAGCAGCACGAAATTGATATTTTTGCTTACTTGCAAAGTGCACATGGGATTAAATATGGATCACTCTTTGCTGCTTTTATTTATATTTAGTTATACATAAAAAAAAAATACAGCTTAGAATGATATAAATTGCAAACTGATTTAGAAATTTTGCTGGCCATAAGTTGCTGCCTAACTATTTTGGTTAACCAATTTCTTTTTTGCTGGTGAAAATCCAGTTACTTTTCGAATGGTATAAATAACACAATATTGCCTCCCTGCTTGTGAATCGTACCCCCTTAAGTTTTTCTTTTTTACATATTAACATCGGTAAAAATATAAAAAATGACATCTATAAACATATTGTAACATTTGAAACATTTGTCCTGTACATGGAGGTCATTAACTGTTTTCTGTCATTAAACCTACAGTTTGTTTACTACTATTTATTGATTATATTTAATCAATTTTGCAGTCATAATGCTATACTGAAAAATATTCTTATTGAAAAATGAGATGATCTCAGAGTTCCAGGACAAATTATTCAAATAAAAAACTTGAGAATGTAAATAAATAATAATTTATCGATTGAAATATGAAATCTAAAATAACTATATAAAATGTTATATTAACATTATCTACACTGATATCAAAACTTTTCTGTAAATTGAAAAATTCTATTATTTGAGATGTTAAAAATGGGTGAATTATTAAACGTGAAAATGTCATATATCTGCGGTTTTTATTTTTTTAAATAATAGTTATATACACAGAACATCCAAAGACAATCAATTAGCTATTTTAGAGCAACTGTTTAAAACAGAAGTTATTTATCTTATTTGGCAATGGTTCTTTCAAATATTAAGATAGTTTTCCAATAGGGTCTGCTTTCCTATATTATGCTATATCATGAAAATTTTGTAAATGGGAAAGTTCATATTTTTACTTACCCATACAAGTTAACGTTGTTTGAGAGAAACGTTCGACGACGACTAGATAGAAGCACTAAATGATGTTTATGTAGATAAATGAATTATACAAAACGTACAAACAGGAAAAGTTAAATCGGCAGATAGATAAACGAATTTTAAAAACCAAAAGATAAATAAGTTCCGTCAATAGTTCCGTCGAAATTTATTCGAAACTATTTCTGAGAATATAATTTTTTATATTATTCGAAGGGATTTGTAATTTTACAGATAGCAAAAATCTACAAAAAACGATACATCTATCTTAAAAGTTAGATAAGTAACTATTCTACCAATTTCCAAAAAAAAAACAAATAATAAATTTTACGGGATGAAGGAAGGCAACGCCGTTGGACGGGGAGGGGGCATAAAGTAATAAATAAACAATTTTTTTTTTTTTTTTTTTTTTTCAGTATGGACTTGTTCCGTTATACAAGTGGTAAGAAACTACCACGGGAGGAGTTATGGTTTTCTGTCAATTTTGACATATGTCAATTCAGTGTGTTCAGCCCATAGAATTAATAAGTACTGTTGTACGTAGTACTTATTAATTCTATGGTTCAGCCCAGTTCAGCCCTGCGATTCTGTAAAATTCCAGACACGAAATTGAATTTCCTTATCAGTCCGAATTCACGTCATTTTTCTCTGTCTACGAATACACATATGAATCAATCAATATTGTTTTCTATTTTTTTTATACAAAAATGGAATTAATAGAATTGCTACGCTAAATGACGTGAATTCGGACACATTAGAGAATTCGAATTCGAGTTCGGATTTTTACAGAAAAGCTCTGCAGAAATGGTTCGTGGTTAGGGATGGTCAATTTTATATTATATATCGATATTTCACGGGAAAATATTTAAAAAAATCATGTATAATTTGGGTTGATGTAAATCCATCAATCGTCTCACGAGAGTATACCTATGTTAATACGTGATGGATCTACCGGGTTCAATGTCATTTTATATATTTGTCACATCTTACTTTCCGTGTTCTATTGAGTGCTTGGTGGGGTAGTAGATAGTGTGCGCGGCGGCCCATGAATTTTGTTGTTAACCAACTTTCGCAAAGGTCTTCCACGGGAATTATTATCCCAAAAAATTTTCAAGGCACGTTAAGCCGTTGGCTGCATGTGCAGTCGTTAATATCCTCCAATCTACATTGGGCCAGCGGGTAGAGTCGGGATGTTCAAAGGGCTATTAATGATGATGAGCCTTCCGTAACCGACGAAACTCAACACGACGCCTTTTCTGGCAGGTATCCAACAACCCAATGTTTTCAAATCTCTATGTATGTCAACCTTTTTTCTTCATGTGCACAGACTAGTATAATCACGTCGCCTTATATAGGTATAAGGTCTCTTTGGAGTAAAAGTATTCTGTGTAAAAGTACTCTTTTTGTTCACGTGTGTCTGTCTTTCTTCTTATGTTTTGTAAATTTTTCTGAAAAAATGGGAAAATTAGACGTCGCTATATTACGTTATTTAACAGCCGAAGATTTTCGTGTGCTAACAGCGGTAATTGATATATCACTTTCTGTAAACATAAAGTACTACTACGAACTCGCTGTTGTTTACTTTTGATTGTTATATTTTAGGTTGAAATGGGGATGAAAAACCATGAACTGGTCCCAGGGTCTTTAGTTGCATCTATCGCAAATCTCCGACACGGCGGTGTATATAAACTCATGAAAGAATTATGTAAACACAGGTTACTAACTTATGAACGTGGAAAGCAATGTAAGTGGTATTTGTTTGTCTCAAAACAGAAATGTCCCTAATAAATTCTTTTCATTCCACTTTTACTCGCGATAATTGTTTACCTCATTAAAAAAAACTCTGCGTTACATTTTCGTGTTGTATTAAGTGGTCTATGTAAGCATTGCTATGTTGTCATTGAACACACTATTATCACAACATAACAGCAAAAAATAGCACAGGAATAAGACAAATTGTTAGATACAATTTCATATAGGACTAAGGCCAGGGTGGTTTGTCCAAAAGGCTCCAACTCGACATAAGCCGCAGATGACTACAGCATTGATTTTCAGCTGACATTTTAAATTCCAATATTTTTTTTTTAAATCAATACTTTATGCTTGGTCTTGTATTTTGATGAGCAATGGTTTGTTTTTACACATGGTTATATATAGACCACATTATCAGAGATACAATTTGTAGGCTGGAATTTTTAGTACTGGATAAAATAAAATAATTAATTTATAACTATCAATATTAACATCATAAATATTTTTATCTATCTCTGAAAAATCCTGCCCCTCCAACAACAGGGTTTAGTTATAAAGTATGTTTAAAAAACAAGGCCGCATATTTATTTCCAGATGATGGATATCGTCTTACCAATGCAGGCTACGACTACTTAGCATTGAAAGCTTTGGCAAACAGAAAAGTAATAGCATCTTTTGGTAATCAGATTGGGGTTGGTAAAGAATCAAATATATACATTGTAGCTGATGAAGAGCAAAATCCAATATGTCTAAAACTCCACAGGTAAATTCATTCACTTAACAATGCCCAAAGAATATGAGATATAAAAAAAAATGAAATAGAAGTTAAAGAATTTAAAGTTTCACATTCTACAAAATCACCAATATGAAAACAATATTTTTATATTGTTGGTCGCCCTATTAAGAACTGAAACCTATTTTTCAGGTTAGGTCGTACATGTTTTCGAAATGTGAAAGACAAACGGGATTACCATGCTCATCGTAACCGTGCATCCTGGTTGTACTTATCACGCATATCAGCTACAAAAGAATTTGCCTATATGAAAGCTCTTTATGACCGAGACTTTCCAGTCCCGCGTCCCATAGATTTTAATCGGCATTGTGTTGTTATGGAACTTGTGAGAGGAGGGCCTCTGTAAGTATTTAAAACTTTCAAAGTTTTTAATGGTAAAACATATTTGAAAGAAGATTATTTTGACTACTGTCTATATTTTCCCAGGACCCGTGTCACTGCAGTAGATGATCCTGAGGTTCTGTATGATGAACTGATGAACCTGATAGTGAGATTAGGCAACTGTGGTGTGATCCATGGTGATTTTAACGAGTTCAACATCATGCTTGATGAGAATGGACACCCTATTATCATTGACTTCCCACAAATGGTCTCCACATCACATCCCAATGCTGAACTGTAAGTTGGTGTATGCTGTTTAATGAAATAATTTTGAATATAGCATGTTGTTTTACTTGATTTAATTCAGCCAACAATACCACAATAATACTATGTAGTATTTACAGATATAAGAAATTATAAAAAAAATATCACCTCCCTACCTCAAGTTATTCAATGGTTAGTTTTGTTGTCTTGTATTTGCAAGAGATGGCGACAGTTGTCTAAGAAAGAATCTGATATAAAGGCAATTGCACAAATGTCTATTAAAATTTTCATTAGTTTAAAGTACCCATACGAAATTGACATTTATCACTCAATAAAAAAAGTTGTTAAAAAATGAAATGTCTGTATTGCATTGTTTGTTATTATGGACCTCTATGAATTTCGACTGTCTCTGAATGTTCAGATATTTCGATCGCGACGTGCGTTGTGTCCGCGAGTTCTTCAAAAAACGTTTTGGCTACGAGAGCGAGCTGTACCCGAGGTTCAGTGAGCTGGAGCGCGAGGATCGTCTCGACGCAGACGTGGAGTGTTCCGGATACAAGCGTTCCAGCCAACACGACCGGGACCTGCTTCAGGTGTGTAATCACACAACACATTCATGTCCTTTTGAAAGTAAGGGAAATTCATTTTAAGTCTTATTGGCGGATCTGGTAAAACCTGTACTTACCTGAGGTTCAGTGAGCTGGAGTTTTTTACTAGAGCTCTCCAACCATCCTGTCCTGAGAAAGACAGATTGAAGCATGATTGGCCTACCTGTTAATGTCCGTTGCGGGTCCCACCCCCACCGAGGGTAACCCGCAACGGACTGAATGTGAATCCGGGGTTCCAGTGAGGAGCACCACGGATCCTATCCATTCATGTCCTAACTACTGGAACACTACAAGATACAACTGATGTGGTTCTCTATTCGCGCAGAAAACTAAATTAAGAAGCGTTATTATCCAATAATAATAATTTAAGTATTGAGTCTTCAGAAGATCCGCACGCCTGACTCCCACTAAGTGTGGGTGAGATGGACAACTTTTGCATTATATTTTAAACCTTAAAGTTCTTACAACAAGACTCATTATAAATTTTAAATATACATTCAATCATTGTTTGAATTGGTATCTGTGCTCTGCACAAACTTGGTTTCACCATACGTCATATTAGTTTGAACTTTCTTTAACTCCAATAGCGGATTATTCTTTAGGCAAAACTAGACACATGCCTAGGGCTTACAAAATGATGTAAAATTTAATGAAATTGTCCTTTAATTGAGAGCGCGAATCTTGGCATAAACTGGCAGGCTGGCAGGCCCTGTGAACATAAAGATTTGTTTGCCTTACTGTATAAATTTTATTTTTGGTGACAGGAGCTTGGCATAGAGCTAGGGGAGGAGTCAGATGAGAGCAGTTCAGAGGAGGAGTTCAGTCAAGATCATGATGCGTCATACTCTACACACGAACTAGATGCGCTACGAGAACAGGTGCCTTTTATAATTACGAAACAAATAATCTTCGTTTCATAAAGATGTGTTTTATCACTTTCATGATTAATTAACTAATTTTTGTCGTGAATTTTTTTTAATGAAACATGTAACTTATGCTTACTTAAAGAAATGTTTTATCGTATTTAATAAAGATAATTTTACATTCAACCGCATATAAAAGTATTCTATTAATTACTTGTAAGATTTTTTAAGTATGCATGTATTAATACAGTTAAAGAAATATCTCTTTTGGCATAATTTACAATCGCTACTTTCAGGTGGATGCTTCTATACTCAATGATGAAACAAAGCCTATCGGAGAACTTATTTCAAAGACAACAGAACTCAATATAGCAGTGCAAGACGACACAGAAGCACCACAGCTAGTTAAAATAGAGAGTTCTTCCGAAACTGCTGGCGATAAAATTGAACCTGACAAAAATTCACAGAAGTACAGACTGGCTATGATTGAGAAAGCGTTATCCGATGTCCGGTCTATGAGGACTTATACTTCTGCGAGCACGATAGCACCTGAGGTGGTGAAGCAGCAGGTTAAGAAGAATTTAGAGATGAGACAGAAGAATATGGAGAGGAAGAAGGCAATAGCGAAAGGTGAAGCGAGTGCGGTGACTCGCGCGCGACGTGATAATAGAGAGACTATACGAGAGAGTCACGGTTTGTGGGGGTGGGATGAGTAAATAAAATAATACATATTTATAAATATTTATTTGTCTTTTTTTACTAATTATCACAAAATAATATACGTTATTCATTATGTGACTTTACGGTTTAATGTTTTTTTTTCTTAAAAGGTAACAAGGAGAAATAAGTAGCACTCCGATTTTCTTACCAGTATTTACTCGGTCAGTTGCACAAACGTCCATTAAGGTTTAATGGCCCCTATGAGCTCCAATGCATGTCAAATTTGTATGAATGATGTCGTTTTAAACTAATGACAATTTTAATGGATGTTTGTGTAACTGGCTGACTGCCTCTTAAAAGATTTATATGTTCATTCTGTCGTTTTTCAACTGTTTATTTACAGCCAGACTGAATAATTTTAACTTTCGTACTTACAAAGTCAAATGAATGCTTGATTTGGAAATATGTTGAAATGAAAGCTTTATGATTACTGAAATTGATCACAATGGAATAGTTATTTATTAATTAATATGAATATTTCATCATCATAAACCACGGGGTACAGACTTCGTTATGAATTATCTCCATTCATTATAGCATTAGACAGAAGTTAAATAAGGTTCTTTTTATGGTATACTTTGTGACAAAATGTTAACAATCATGTTACTCTTAAGACTGACGGCTTATTTGCTACATATCCACTTAAATACCAGCTGTTATACTTAACAGTTGTCGTCTAAGCCATCTGTTAAACAAAATTATGAGTATTTGACTAACTTAAAAGATTTAATAACTCTTACAATAAAAAGTGTTCATCTTAAAGAACCTAGAGAAGCAGGGGTGGAAAGTCTCGGCACGATTCTCATGTCAATATAACTCTACCAAATTTAAAACGTTGCCTTATCCCTTCAAACGTTTCGGTAGGACAGCTTTTTAATTTTGTCAGATTATGATGTATTCATAATAGTCAAAATATGTTATCTGGGATTCTCATTAATCTTTCTTGTTGTTTTACCGTAGGTATTCCGCGATTGAGCTTTTATTGTATTATTTTTATCCTCTTATAGATTTTTTTTAGTTGTTATCTTTTTGTAGTTAAGTCTTGCTAAATATGGACGATTCCGGCGCAGGTACGAATGGCCTACAACAATTACCTCTTACATTTCAGGAAGTTTTTCCAATATCTTAATCAAAAATCTAATAATATCTGAATAAATGCTATAAAAGTAATAATAAAAAATTCATTTTGTTTACCTTTCTTTACTGGGCATTAATATATATCTAAATTATATTCTAATTATACATTTACAATTAGAATTTTATCAAAACGATAGATACATAGTTATAGTTCCATATTGGCAGGAGCGGCGTTAGGGTAGGGCGCGGTTGGGCGACCGCCCAGGGGCGCCGGACCAAAAGGGGCGCCGCAGGCCGCGGCGCCCTTTTTACGTCCGGCGCTTTTTTCTGATTCTGTATAATGAGGAAATATGAAAAAAATGAAAGCACTACAAAAGTACCTCCACTAGATGACGACTCTAGCAAAAGTTGATTTTTGCAGGAAACGAATGGAACAAAGACAGTCATTTCCGATCCTTCTAAGTAACATATTAAAAAACTGAAATTTGAAATGTTCGAAACTTAGATATCAATACAAATACGAAAAAGTACAAATAGAATATGAGTTGTTTATTAAATTTTGAAAACTAATTTACTTTTAAACATGAAAGAAAACTGGAAAGGTTGTCATGGAGAAATCAAGAACGTACCGTAGCGATATCTAGTTTGATTTCGGGAACTAATGTTTTTTTCTAATACTTCCTCATTTCCCAAAGACAAAGATTATATATATAGTTCCCTCGCTCATTGAACAAGGCCTACTGGGTCGGCGAAAACAGAGAAGAACCGTGAGGATGTTTTTTGTTTTCAAGTTGCCTCACTTTCAGCATGAATTGAAAGGAAACTTAGCAAGAATAATATTATATTATGATAAAACAGAACAACATACCGATTACCAATATGAAGATATGTATTTTATTAGGTAAGATGACGTACATTGGCGGGCATTGTCGCTCGGTCATTTAAGAAAATTTTCGTTTGAGCATGTTTAAACGTTAAGTAGAAGCTAAAATGCTGCAATACAAACGAATGCATCGGCAGTGGAGCCTCTGTCTGGCAAGTCAGATGGAATAACTACTCAAGAGATTGTGGATGAAAAATCCCAAAGTGAGGGAGCAAGTAGTGCTACGATTACAGATGCTGATCAGGATAAATCTGTTATTGATGTACAACAAATCATGTACTAGATGATGTTGATACTGTTGTCCCGAATATAGCGGATCCAGCTACTTGGCCACTTATTCGAAATAGCAAAATAATTGATCATATAATAAGTAGTGGCCCACTGCAAACTCACTGTCACAAAGTTACAACAATTACACAAAGTTATAGATAACAATTATGTGACCACCCTATTAGGGTGGTCACATAATTGTCACATAATTGGGTGGTACCTAAGGGGGCGTCCATAAATTACGTGAGATGTTTAAGGGGGGGACGGGGTCGAGGCAAATCTCATCTAATCTTACGTTGGAGAGAGGGGGGGTCTCGGCAAATATCACGCAATTTTTTTCTGATTGAAACATAAAAAGAAATACTATTTTGGTCCATTTAATCTAGATTGTACATGCTTAAGATTTAATCTTAAGCGTAATCGTATACGATTAAGATCATTCACTAATTCGTTCGAAAGAAAATAATTTCATTCATACTTCGACGCTATACATCTACTGAATGTTAAACCACCATATTTGTAGGGCTCGAACGATACTTTCGATACCGAGTAGGTATCGATACTTTCAAAAGCGATACTCGATACTACAACAAGGCAAATACTCGCAAGTACTCATCAAATTGCATTTTGAGAAATCTCACGTGAGATTGGGGGATGGGGGAGGGGGTTGAATAAAATCTCACGACATCTCACCAGAGGGGAAGGGAGGGACAGAAAATTTAAAAAACACCTCACGTAATTTATGGACGCCCCCTAACGATCAAAGTGTCAACAAAACTATTATATATATTTTTAAAATTAATCTTGAAAATAAAATGTTCTGCACTGCTGCTTCTGTGACCCTCTTTTTACTAATGTTATAATGAATGGAGTATGAGTAGTATTATTTATTACCAATGATCGGAGTCGATAGATTTATTGCGGTCATTGATTTGTAATTTATACATTAATATGAACATTCCTTGGAAATGGACTGATATTTATAATAAATATTTTTCCGAAACTTAGGTAGAAAATGTCATAAAAATTTTAATAAAAGTTTCAAAAATAATTTGATTTACAATATATAAATATTGTTAATTAAGTTATTAAATAAATTCAGAAACCTCACGTAACGTAAACAGAGCTAAGAACCAACACAAGTAAACTGGCTTTCGAATTAACATTACATCTTAATCGGTCCATCCGTTTGAGAGCTACAATGCTATAGATAGACACTAAGTCATCGTCATCAAACATGCAACAATTTGTTTTTTTTGTGTCGGGGTTAAACATTTTGCGATTCTGACTATAAGCCGGATGTGGATTAATTTTTTTAGTAAAATTTTGAACCGTATTTCTATATAATCCGCGATAAGAACGTTTAGGACTTTTGTTTATAACTTTGCATAGATGAAAAAATCGCCCCACCATTTATAATTTCATCGTGCTTCGGCGATCTTAAGCACTTCCAAACATTTAAATGTTCAGTATTCTTCTGTAGAGTCTTCTTCGACTGGTAATGACGCGAGTGCTGGAGCCTCGGTTGATGCGCCGTATTCGCGGATGTATAGCAGTTGCATATACGCCTCCAAGCAAACTAACTGAAATACGACTAATTACTAAAGTTATCACGTCAAGAAAGAGGATAGAGGGACTACCGTGTGATAAGAAACGTGTTCTAAGGGTTAATGAAATTGAAAGAGAAACTTTCTAAAACTTTATTTTACATATTGTGTGTATGATTTTATGTTTTTGAATAAAGTCGTATGAAGAATGGAGACTATAGTTAAAAGCCTGTCAAATTATCGACATATCAATGCTATCATTAAACGGTGATAAGTAAAGTATTTGTAGGTGCACGGCTTAGATATAACTATTTGATCGTTTGATATGTGTACGGTGTGTCGGTCGAAACACTTGAAATTTTTCGTATCAATCCAAGCAAGAATCCAATGTGGAACAATAAATCGGTTAACATTATTTAAACTTACTTTATGTCCCTCCAGGAAACCTTCAAGCTTGAATGTGTACCCGAACATGCTGGTCGATATCTTTGACTCCGACACGGGGATGTAGTTGTCTTCTGTTTGGAACGGAAACGTCTCTATCCGGTAGTTTCCAGCGTTTATCGGGCAGGACATTCTGGAAACATTCCTCAGACTGGTTATACAGTGCTTGACGACCGTCTATGTTTTGACGACACGTATTAACCGAATCATCTGTAATATTCAGCGCTTTCCTGACCAATAAACTGACCGTTCTGGTACCGGTATAGTTCGGTATACCGATCGGTACATTACTGAATTTGTTCATTTGTTTCTCCAACGTGAAAGCTCACAGAGCGCATCGGATGCCTGAGATATTCTAGCGACTGACGTACGCACCAATGGTTGCCAATAGTCAGTGGACAGACTGTTACTGCGCTAAAATCAACTTTAATTCAATTTGTATTAAAAAATATTTGTGCTTAAATATAACAATATGACAACCTTCGTAGCAGAATGGTTCGAACGCCGGTTTCAACTGTCGCTGTCTCTGAGACCCCGGGTTCATTCCCGGTCAGGTCAATGTAGAAAATGAACTTTTCTAAATTGTCTCCAGTCTGGGTGTTGTGGTACCTTCGTTGTCTTAGATACACCATAATACTGGAGCATTAGCTGCTCATCTTGTAATCTGAGCAGTCTATGTATTTTTTTTTTAATATTAGGTATTAAATATATATATAATATTTGATCAATTTCTCATTCACAATGCTAGGAAACTAACGAATATCGCTAATTTAACACTTGCACTCGGTACGTGCCTTACAAATAACAATATAGTTAATTTTAGAGACGTGCAATATTCGTTAAATTACGGACGCTATGAGTTAACGACCGAATTCGGTAAGATTCGAGATCGCAAATGCTATCCACACTGCGTTCTCTCTGGCTACTCCGCGAGGGATCTAGCTTGAAGATATTTATCTAATATTCATATATACATTCATATATAACATTCTTATACATTTTTCATCATAATATCTACGTATATATATCTTGCATCCCTGCATCCGTGTGGTGAATGCATAGGGTCTAGCTGAAAATCAGCGTCGGTCTGTTTCTGGAAAGTAAACAGACCGACAAATGCCGAGCTATATACCTATTTGGTGCAGTCGTGGGACACAATATTATTTATTTCAATGTTGAATAATGTTAAATATCCTATTGTTTGTACGAGGGTGGATTGAAAAGTTCGCGGCCTCGGCAAGAAAACAATATAAAATATAAGCAAAATTAATTTTATTTTTCCACGTAATCTCCACTTAACTATGCACTAGTTCCATCTGGTTTCCAACACCTGTATGCCGGTCATAAAAAAAGTTTCTTCAAGGCCTTCAAAAAGTCACCTACCGCAGCTTCGACCTCCTGATTTGATGAAAATTTTTGACCTCCAAGGTGTTTTTTTAGGTTTGGGAATAAATGAAAGTCTGAAGGTGCCAAATCAGGGGAATAGGCGGGATGGGGCAGTAATTCAAAACCATAATCACGAATTTGAGCCATTATCCTGACGGAACAACACTTTCTTGCTGAGTAATGCTGGCCTTTTCTCTTTAATTGTTTCACGTAAGCGACGTAAGAGGGTGCAGTAATAAGCCGAGTTTATAGTTTCACCTTTTGCATGGTAGTCCCCCATGATGACACCCTTACCATCCGAAAAGACTGACACCATCACCTTGCGAGCTGACAAAATTGTTTTTTTTTTTTTGTTAGACTGAAAGCCATCTGGGTACCCACGTCGCAGAAACCTTAGAAAATCTAAGTTCATTGACTAGGATGTTTTGTGTACGTTCATACGAGATGCCAATAGTGTCTGCAATCTCCCTGATGGTCAATCTCCGATCTGTCAATATTAGATCACAGATTTTCCCGATGTTTTCTTCAGTCGTAGATGTCATAGGCCGCCCAGAGCGAGGGTCATCTTCAATACTCTCTTGTCCGCGTTTATATTCAGCAACCCACTTTTTCACAGTCGTATACGACGGAGCATATTCCCCCAATGTTGTTGACATATCTTCGTGAATCTCTTTTGGAGTTAGTTTTTTTAAAAACAGGTATTTGATGACTGCACGTTGCTCAATTTTCTCCATTGTTTAAAAATATGTACTGCACAAAGGTTCACAAAACTCAGTCTAATTAATGTTATTGCGATAGAATTTTACAATTTGACAACAAGAGAGTAAACTAATCGAATTAGGTAAGTTACATTAAAATAGTTTAAGTATTTATGTGTTAAGCAGTGAATTTTTCAGTCCACCCTCGTAATTGTACGTTTAATCTTATGTTTATTCTAATATGTAGTAATGTGATTAATTATTATATTTTAGTGTCCTATGTGCATGCGCCGAATAAATGAATTTGAATTTGAAGATAAGAATAAATAAATTCTCTTCCATATAGGCAAACAAGGCAACTGCATCTGTAACTGCCTGCAACGCTCGTATTTAGGGGGCGGCAAGGCATGGTTATGTTTCTTCTAATAACTTTAATCTTAAAAAAATACCTTTTGTTTGAATATTAGTCCAAGTCTGCGGTATTTAAAATTAAACTTAATTGGTGTTTTATTTTGTTGTGTATTTTATGGGCGTCGTTCTAATGCTTTACCTAGAACGCCACCTTTTGATGTGTTGCCTAGGATGACAAGTTCCAGTGTTTTGCTAGGGCGCTTAAGTTTCATCGAGCCAGCTCTAAATAGACCACTTACCTGGGATGTGTATGTCGAAAGAACATATAATATAACTGTGATTGCTCATCATCGTCGTCACTGTTCTGCTCGCAACCGTTACTGATCATTGAGAACGCTTTTAAGTAATCGCATGTGTCTAGGTTACGGATGTCCTGGCACTTCTCCATCGATGCCTGAGTATGAAAAGTTCTATTAGTGGCAAATTAGTGATTCGTACTGTAGTTGATGTGTAGGACTGCTGATATTATGTCGTCACTAGGAAGTGTGTGCATTCGTTAATAGAGCAAGCCTGATTTTGCTGAATCCTTTAATTTTAAGGTTAAGACCATCTTAAGAATTTTTACTTGCTGAATTCAAAAACAAAGACAGTTTTTGAGTTCATAAAACTTGCAATAGGTATATTATTCATTGAAAATAACTTACCACATTCTATAAATAAATGATATTCCAAAGCCTAAGCTAATTTTCCACAGGCCACCAAACATGGACTGTTATTCAGCAGTACGCGTCGTACGGCTTGGTGATGACGAAAATTAATAATTATGGTTTTACCTTAACACTCCACCCATTGTTGATGTTTGAGCTGATATTCAACCATCCACTGACAGAGGAGTCATATGTCCTTGTGAACACGCTCATCTCTGATAATTTAACCACCGTGTCATTATCGAGGGAGGTGGAACAAGGCCCCGCTCTGGTCACCAACAAATTGGTAGGTGCAGTAGTTCTCGTGTAGTCACGCTGAACATTAATTGTAAGTATGATGGCAATAAACAATATTTGCCTTGGTGTACCATCCATAATCATTAGTGATAGTAAACCAACTGAACAAATCTGAACCGTATCCTCGAAATAGATTTCTGATCGGTTAATAATGCGTTTTTAATACGTTCGTTAGGATTATATTATTATGTTATGTTTATGTTATTAAAAAACCTACAATATTTATATACTAAATTTATGTTAATTATCTATACTTAGTATAAAATAAAGCTACTCCCGCTGTTTGTACGCTAAGATCTTTTAACCTATAAGTATATAACGGATTTTAATGCGATTTTCATCAATATACAGAGTGATTCAAAGGAAAGATTTATATATATGATGTGTTCATAAGAGCAGAACTGAATCAATTCGAAATTTTTTTTATATGTGATCTTTATTTTCGGAATGTCCATGGAGAGAAAAAATTGAGAGTAAAACAGTATTAAAACACTTCTTTTCTCATACAAACTGTCAAACAAACCAAAAAAAAAATATTACGTCAATAAAAAACACGCGCATTACTCAGTAACTGAAAATACATCAGAGCCAACTGGTCGGATGTCCATTTTTTATACTTTTAAACGTTAATTGCTAATTTACACTATTAAACTAATTTACATTATTACTAATTATCTTAAGGTGAGTTGAATGACTATTTAATTGTGATTATTTCTTGCTATACTAGTTCTTACTTATTCCGAAAACATTAATACAATTAATTCTGAAAATTGAGTAACATCCGACCTAAATAATGAAGTCATTTTCTCATAACATGGCCGCATAATAACATACGCTGTTTTGGTTCCAAAAAATATAAAGTTTAATCAATGATCCTAGGCCTTATATTAATATACAACCAAATGGTTCGAGAACAAACATAAATCCAGTAAAATATATGTGGAAATAAGATATTTTGGTTCGGGGATATTTGACCTGCTCATACAAATACACATCCGACTTTTCATAGAATATTAAATTTTTTTATATAATAAACTTTAAAAATAAGCGCAAGAAGGACTCAATATATTAAATCAATGACATATACAACGTTTCAAATAGTTAGGTGAATTTAAATAAATGTGATGGCACCGTAATTCTCATTTAAATTGATCTCCATGATATAGGCCAAAACGCAATTTACCGTCCTAAAGTCGTAAAGAATGGTAGCAATGAATTGAATTGAATTTTTTAGCGTTCCATACCCAAAGGGTACAACGGGAACCCTTTTACTAAGACTTTGCTGTCTATCTGTCTGTCTTTCACCAGGCTGTATCTCATTAATCGTGAACGTTAGACAGTTGAAATTTTCACAGATTATGTATTTCTGTTGCCGTTATAACACAAATACTAAATAATGGAATTAAAAAAATATTTAAGAAGGCTCTCATACAACAAACGTGATTTTTTGCCCGTTTTTGGTTCGGAACCCTTCGCGCGAGTTCAACTCGCACTTGGTCGGTTTTTTTTTTCAGAAACCAAATACTTTTATTTGTGATCTCAGCAATGTATCTGACGTTGTCTTTATTATTGGATTGGATATTAGGAATTGTATGTCGTCTGATAATATGTAATATTAAGCATATGAAATAAGTTAATTACTAAATTTAAGAGTTATACGTACTATAGTCATAAAAAACCATTCTGAATTTTGTCCTTCCACTTTGAACATCTAAATTGAAAAATAGACTGTTAAAGAAAATCTTGGGAAAATCGGGCTACGTACTAAAACTTGAGGTGATCCAATCAAAACAAAGGAAGGCTGATAGGACATTTTCTAACAGTTACGGCATAAAATATATATTGTAGTTATCTAAACTATGTTGTTTAACATAAAACATGTTGATTACAAAGTTAAATAATATAATAATTAAATAATATTTTTCATTTTTTATTTACATTTGCTCCGCGATAAGTTGCTTTTATGCTGATAAGTCTACAAAACATACGATCATATAGGTAATAGGTACGTATTGGTCTGAGCATTGTAATTTTAATCTTTGATAACAGGTTTATTGTGTCCTACTTCATTATTTTCAAGCTATCTTTAGTGTTACTTTCCACACTCTATAGGTACCTGTTTTGATATTTGTTATGTCTTAAGGCCGGTCAGCAAACTTTTAAAATTAAAAATAAAGATTTGAATTAGTAGATTATTGAAAAAAACATATCAAAATAGAAAATGTTTCTACAGTCGTAAACAAAATGAATCAAGTACTTACCTACCACTTACAACATAACAGGACCGCACTATGAATATTATATGACAGATTATTTCTAGCATAAACGCCGCCTTTACTCACTCCTAAAATTGAGAAACATTCTCTAATTTTTTTGTTACATAGAAGACGTATCGGTTCGGGTTAGAGTAGTGTGAGATTAAATATAGGAATATAATAGATTTTATCCAACTTTTTAACCACCGACGCAAAAAGAGGGATGTTATAAGTGTGACCTGTCTATCTGTATATCTGTGGCACCCTAACTCCTGAATGAATACACCGATTTGAGTGTGGTTTTTTAATCGAAAGCTTTGTTCATTACAGTATTTCTTGACTATGTTTTATAAAAATCGGATAAGCAGTTTAAATGCGACAAGCACTTTGCCAAGAAGAGATAGCATTTTTTTTTAAATATTGGCACTTACAGCTTCATAACATGTAAAGGAAAAGGCCGATTTAAACTTTTTAACCAATACTTATCCTACTATACAATATTACCGCTTTCGTCAATATCATTTTGAAATCGGATAATTTTCTAGAAGAAATATATCATTTCTTTTAGAAATTATAAAAGAATGAATTAAGAATAAAATTTTAACTAAAAAGTACCCCGATCCAAAAAGTATACAAAAGGGACCGTTCTATGAAACACGTGAAATGAGAATTTTGTTTGGCCAATTTTTATTTTAAAGATTTTATGATCTTAATAATTATTTTGATACTTTTTACTGTTATTTTTTGGGTCGGGGTTTTTTAATTTATAATTGGGTTTCAATTTATACATATTACCTATAAACGACGCATTGGGTAAGTACTATGGCAAATAGTCTGTATAATTCGAGTCAGTACTGAAGAGGGAAACAAAAATCAGTGCGACTACATTTCCAATTTTATTGGTTTAATCGATGAATATAAGCGGCCAACCTTCGTGTGCATATTGTGTGTTAGTCAGCTAGCCAGCTGTCCTGTACAATGGGTACGCATTACGACCCGTGAGTGGTCCATATAAAAGGCCATGACGGTTTTCTTTCACAATTATTTCATTAGAATAACATAGAAACTTACGGTACATGTTATTTATTGCATTAATTAGAAAAAAAAATTAAGGTATACATTACCTTGACAATACAAATATCACAACACTGTCATTCGCTTATCTTTTCCATAAACATGCAAAGGATTACGTTGCGACTCTGTTGAATAAGATTGGCAATTTATTAGAAAAGTTTATTACGCGATACAAAGCCGATCCGAGTATTTTTAACCTTTTGAACGGATCTATAGTGCATTTTTTTTAAAACGATCAAGGTTGAAGGTTGAAAGGAAAAAGTTTCAGTGATATAATGTATTTAACAGTTCAATAATGTAACCCTGAGTCGCTTGTATCTTAGGCCACCTTGTGGTCTATTGAGGGTGGCTGATGTCCGAATAAAACGCGTTGTGGGATCGATTGCTAATAGTGTACCTACCGTTCTGTACCAATAACTCATACTCACAAACTCATATAAATACTCAACATTTATTTATCATTTTGTTTTTTAAATACCTATTTCAAAAAATAATGAATCAATTTGAATAGTGAAGCAGTTCCCAGGTGAGACTTTTTTTTATGTTCATAGTCTCAAATATACTTCTATAACTATAAATAATTTATAATTCAAACTGAATCTTATCTGTAGGTATAATAAAGTTGTAAACATCTGAATATTATCGTTATCTAAAAACCCAAGTTTAGCAACGATCACGTATTTGTAAACATAATAAAATATCTATAAATTTTTGTTTCTTGCCGGGACACAAGTAAGCAGTCAGTTATAATATGTAATGAACGTTGATGGTTGACTGGCTATAAGACATTCGGTTTCTTATACCACATAATAAACATAGTAGATACTACTAGTAACGACTTGGTAGCCGGTCAGTACGCACGCGCCATGAGTCAAGATAACCTTACCGCGTTGTTGTACAAGACTAAGGATCTGAAACTGGTATGTAGATATATACTTTTTTAAATAGTATTTTAGATATTAATTATTAGAGTTCAAGGTTACCGCTGGTGACGTCACACTTCTATAACATCTGTTTCAATTTACTTTTGTCGCCGGGATAATGGCAGCGGGTAAATAAAAAAAGCTCAGCTAAGAATAAACGATGGAAAAAGTTATATAAAAAATATATTATAGTATTATAATGCAAAAGTCAATAGAAAATATTATTTGAAAGATAATAAATTTTATTTTTTTAGTATTCTCTGAAAATTAAAGTTTCTTTCTTGTTACATACTTAATTGATGCGTCGTACCTACAGTGAAAAATCTAAGTAATATCAAGTAGGAAATGTTGTTGATATACAGCGATTGCTTTAATATCCTTCCTTCCTCCAGTTTATAAATAGACCTAATGATAAAACAAACTTTTATTGTAAGTTATTGCCTACTTTACATCTTGAAATATGTATATTTTGTTATTTAATATCTATATCTGTTGAAAGGTGAATAAAGTCAATGTCATAAATAGATAAGTAATTCAATAACTTATCTCATTATATATTTTAATCAACTGTAATTCATCTGATAAAAAGGATTCAGAAAATATATATGAATAAATAAATACAATTAAAATATAAATCCAAAAATCTTACCAACTTAATTTCTACATGTTACAAATTCATCCCTGTATTATTGATAGTATAAGATTTATATATTTGTATAACTAGTTGATCTGAAGAACTATAAATATAAATTAGTGCGAGTGTATTTTACTATAAAAAAAAAATCCTATTTTTCTATGAAATTTTTATTTTCTTAATAATGAAAATCTTGTTGCATTATTTCATTTATCTATAGTAAATTTTAAATTTAGTAATCTACAACATCATTCTTTATTTTGTACGCAGGTACAAACGCCAATTCCTGAAATTGCTGAAGATGGTGAGTTTTCATGAATTATATTATTATTTGCCACTTAGATTCCTGAACATTTCAATAGATTTCTATAATAGCAGGATTAGGCCATTCTTCTTTATTGGTCAAAATGTAGAGTACCGAGACGTGAGACTAGCAATTATAAAGAGGAAAGATTTGATTGTTTGCATTGAATAGTCTCCATCAAAAGTTACATCAAACAGTTAATATTACATAATAGACAAAACTATTCTTAATGCAAAATGATTAAAAAATCCACTTGGTCTCTGGCACCCTGAGATGGGATTCGATGTGGATCGAACCCACAACTTTTCGCAATTGTGAATGCGAAATTGATCAAATACAGACAAAACTATTATCTATTTATACCTACATACTTTATTGTTAAGCAACTTGCAAAAGTGGGTGGGTCGACATTAAGTATCCTTTTTAATTTACATTTAGTTTCTTTTTATTTTCCCAATAGAGTTGCTTGGCAATGTTTTCTTTAATGTTTTTTCCTGTTTATTTTCCAGAGGTTCTTTTGCGCATGGATTGCGTGGGTATCTGCGGGTCGGATGTTCACTACTGGCAGAGTGGTGCCTGCGGACCATTCTTAGTAAAGGAACCCATGATCATGGGCCATGAAGCGAGCGGAGTCGTAGCTAAGGTACCTTACGGCTTGTATGATGTTTTCACAATCTTATAAAGCTAGAAGTCAATACCATATTTTTTTTAAGGTAATAGACCAGTGCGGCTGGTTGCGAAGACCCGGTTTTGGCTACTGCTCCCTTTTCGAACATTTCAAAATTAAAGGCGTTCAAACTAACGCATAGGCAAATATATAACTCTACCGTGAACGGTTTTTAAAATATTGCATTATGGCAAAACAAGGGCAAATGTTACCTTTAACAGATGTGATATGTGAAGGCCCACTTCCTCGTAACTCTTATAATAGCCAAAACCGAATCATCTGCCCTATTTCTATAATAATCATTCTCAAAACACATAAAACAAGGATTTTATTACTTTACTTAGAGTGTTCTGCATTTTTTACTTAATAGGCCCGAAGAGCTAAATCACAAAATAGGTACCTATCTCCATTTAAAAATTTCCCAAATGGATGTTATATTTATATCCTAGATCATATATAGATATAATTGGCGATAAAATTATTGTAATATTTTGGGAACATAAAATGTGTTGTGTATTATTAAAAGTAACGTTTGCCTATTTAATCTCGTGCACTAATAAAAATAGTATTGATGTAATAAATGATTATAAACTCTACAACTGTTTTAGTATCATTAACTGTTCGATAACCATCACAGTAAATAAAATATCCATCAAGGTGACTGCCAGCATTATACGTCACTAAGTTATTATTACTGCATCGCATAGCCAAAAAAATGTACAGAGTTTGTCACCGAAAATAAACTATGTATTTGTTTCGATCAGTTTTCTATAGACTCTTTGTTGGAATAAGAATAGAGAATACGTACTTATTTGTTAACACTATAATTGCATAGTGTTAACTAATTAGGTGCATATTATGATACTAGCATGATTTATTTGATTTAACCTCTAATGTTGCAACAGCGTTGTGTTCGACGCTATATTTACTGCTGAGTAGGCAATTGGATATTCACTAATTTCTTTACCTTCATAGGTAAGAACATTTTAAATAGTACGCATGCTTAAACCATCCCACATATTAGATTTAAGGGAATTTATGTAACTTACGTAAAATGCAAAAAGTTTTGTTTATAATAATGTACAATCCAACAACGTACTTATGTGGATTGCGAATATTATTCCCAGATTTCTGAAAATAATGACGTAGTATAAAGAAAAAACCAAACACAGATTCAGGGAGTATATTTTAGAATCGAAACCTCATCATCATATTACTTGAGTATTAATTAAAGCCTCATTTCAGTTAGGTGCAAAGGTGAAGAGTCTTAAGGTGGGTGACCGCGTAGCTATCGAGCCCGGCGTGCCGTGCCGATACTGCGAGTTCTGCAAGACTGGCCGCTACCACCTCTGTCCTGACATCATATTCTGTGCCACGCCGCCCTGCCACGGCAACCTGGTGCGGTACTACAAACATGCTGCCGACTTCTGCTACAAGTCAGTAACCATTAGCGTAAAAGAGCTTCTATTTCTGATGTTATAGAACTCTGAGAGTAGGATTTAATATTTGCTTATTCGACTGAGTATAATCATATGAACGCCTTCGAAAAGTGATCTACCATGCCGACTATATGTAAATTATGGCCGATTCTTAGAATTCATTGAGAAATAGTCTGGATCAACTGATTTCTGATATTGAACAAACTGCTAAAAACATAAACCTAAGGATTGTCAAACAGGTGAAAGAAATACATAATGGTATCTGGCAAGAAGTCATGAAGTACGTGGGCTTGAGTATGAGACTGAAAAGAAAGAAACTGGCGACATATTGTGTGTTACTATGGAACGAAGCCTAGTTGGGTGCGAGCGATAAGACATGAGTTAAAAATTCGGATCTCGGAGAAAAAAAAACAAAGCTGACCGACATTCCAAGCCAAATAGCTAAAAAAGACGTGGTCAGGGAAAATGAAGCATAGTAGGGTCAACTATTACTCGTAAACTTGTAAAGCCAACTCAAGTGTAATAGTTTTCATTTTAACTTTGTTATTGTAGGTACTACTGCCGTAACGTTTGAATTTTTACCAATGAACGTTTAGTTGCTACACTTGACTCTTACGAGAATTAACTCTTTAGAGTTTAATAAGTCACAAACGGTTTACTAAATCGAAAAACCGCCTCTCCTATGTCTTTGCATAACTTATCCAACGATGCCCCACACTATGGGGAAGGCGAAAAAATTTCACCCCCACTGCATGTAGGGGGGGTACCCTAAAATTTATTTAGAATCTTACTTTACCACTTTGTAGACATAATTAACGTACATGGCGAAACTATAAGGGTTCATTGTTTACTACGCAACCTTAAAAAGCAATCTTTATAAGAACAGCGGCGTCTATCAATATGTCACAGTTGAAAATGAATTTTAAATATAATATCAATTCGGTATAACGTAGTAAAACAGTTTAGTCACATGTGCTATATGCGTGAGATTGGTGGCAGACTCCCGGACCACGTGTCTATGGAGGAAGGCGCGCTGCTGGAGCCGCTTTCGGTGGCGGTGCACGCGTGCCGGCGCGGTGGCGTCACCGCGGGGGACAACGTGCTGGTGCTGGGCGCGGGGCCAATAGGCTTGCTCCTCATGCTCACCGCTAAAGCGATGGGCGCCAATAAAGTACTCATCACAGGTACTACTTCTTCTACCTCTTATCAGCAGAGCGACGTTTTTTTAACATAGAAGAATGGTAAATGCAATTTCCCCGCCCGCCGCTTGACAGGCGGCAGGGATGTGTGTGGACCCGCACGATGCCTAGTCAAAACGCAGAAGGCGTACCCACTAAACGCCCTCTGTGCACCCTCTCTTTTGGGGGAAAGGCCTGGGATTCAGCAGTGAGCGCTCCAAAAATGGTAATCTTAGTATAACAGTTTATTAACGTTTCATTTTGAAAAATATCTACTACAAATTGATCTATGATTATGAGAAAAAAAAACCTAAAATATATATTTGAGTTCTGTTTGAACATTATCTATGTGCGACATTGAATGCTTCCAGAACAAAGTTTACATAGGTAATATTTGTTTACAAAAATAAAAATACACAAATTTTGAAGTTCGACAGCAGGAGAAATGAATCCATTTTTAAAGTTAGCAGAAACTGCCCCTCTAAATCAAATTTAGGAGCAGATTTCACTGCGAATTTTTAGGCGACTCCATTTTTCCTTCTAGTGGCGCAGCTTGGTGGGATAAAATGCAACAATCCTTTTTTTATTTACAGAATCTTCAGACTAAAGGAATGCCATTGATATTTATTTTAAAATCTTGAGACTGTAATAAATTGAGAAATGTCTTGTAGACATCCTGGAATCCCGGCTGGAATTCGCCAAGAAGCTTGGCGCGGATTCTACGTTGCTAGTGTGCCGTGAGGACAATGAAGCGGGTCTAGTGGCGCGCGTACACGCGCTGCTGGGCGCGCACCCCGACGTCTCCTTCGATGCTAGCGGCGCCAACGCCTCCGTGCGACTCTGTCTTCTGGTCATTACCCTGTCTAATTTGCTACACTTTTGTCATCACCCTATCTTATCAATTAAGCTATTGTCATTATCATAATCTTAACTTTATTATACATAGTATTACTATCACTCTACCTACATACCTACCTGTCTATTTTATTACACTATTGTCATTATATCCTGTCTACATTTTTACACTATTGTCATCAGGCTATCTGTACAACTAAACTATTGTAATTATTTTCTCTACTTTACTATACTATTAGTATCACACTATCTGCTCAATTTCACTATTGTAATTATTCGGTCTATTTATTACATTATTGCCATCACCAAATCCGCTCAATTATGCTATTGTATTTATACTGTCTAGTTTATCATACTATTGCTATCACCCTACCTGCTTAATTACACTAATTATTCTGTCTACTTTATTACATTATTCCCATCAACATATCTGCTCAATTATACTATTGTAATTATTCTGTATACTTAATTATAATTACACTATTTTCACTATTCTGTCAACTTTATCACCATGCTACCTGGTCAATTACACTATTTGTCACTACCCTGTGAACTGAAATACACTATTTTCACCACCCTATCTGCTCAATTACACTATTGTCATTATCTCATCTATTTTTAAATGAGCTTAAGTATACCGATGTTTATTAGAGATATTTTCCGAGAAAACGAGTTTAAATGGAATGTATAGAAATTGGTATGGATTTTGTGTGTCCAGGCAACGAAATCGGGCGGTGTGGCGGTGCTGGTGGGGATGGGTGCTCCCGAGCAGACGGTACCTCTCGCCGCCGCGCTCACCAGGGAGGTAGACGTGCGCGGCATATTCCGATACGTCAACGAGTATGTTACTATATTTATTGTTACTATTACTAGTTATTATACATGAAACAAATTAAAGACATACATTTATCAAGAAACAGATAAATAGATTATCCGTAATTAATGAGTAAAATAAATTGAAATCGAACAAAACGAAAGAATTTATTAATTAAAATTGATATTAATAAGTAAAATCCAAAATAAAACAAGAGAAATTAATTTATATGATATTATTTCGAATCACAATTTGCCTCAACGAGAAAAAACAAAAATATATATAAAGAGTAACATTCTTCTGAACTTTTGCAAGTTGAGATGGTAAATATCTAGACAATCACACTTTGAGGTTATATGGTTGAATATGCAACACTACACACCTTTACTAAACATGTATGAGACACGCTCGCAACTCAGGAGTATGCTATCACAATATCAAATTGCCGTAATAAATTTTGATTTTTACTAGAAACTAATAAGAGTTTAAAATCAGTTAGAAGAAACATGTCAATTTTATTATTGCGTGGTCCCTAGAGAAATGTTTAGTGGGATAAAAAGTATCCTATTATCTAAGTCAGCTAATACCCTATCTGTATACCAAATTTTATCAAAATCCGTTCATTAGTTTCGGCGTGATTGACCGACAAACATCCAAACAAAGAAACTGTCACATTTATAATATTAATAGGATTAGCTGTTGTCTATGACTTCGCACGCGTAAATATCCTTTGTCAACCCCGTATGATGTAACAAACGTTAAATAAAATAAAATATTTCCTGTTTATAATGGATGATCAAACAAACTTACCAAGTGATGTTCGATCAAAATTATGTGAGCAACTTCATTCCAAGCGATTTGGATGCAATTTGTTAACCATAAATCACAAATAATGGAGCTGCGAAACATAATATTAGTATAGAAAAGTTAAATAAATTTAAAACTTGATATTCAACTAATACATATTTTAATACTAGATACCCCATTGCGCTGAACATGGTAGCTAACGGTCACATCAACGTGAAGCCTCTGGTGACGCACCACTTCGACATTGAGCAGACACTGGAGGCGTACGAAACCATGCTTCGGGGAGATGGCATCAAGGTCATGATACACGTGCAGCCAAGGGACGCTAACAATCCTGTCAAGTTTTAGGACAAAGCGTTTGGATATACTCCTCGCTACCTGTGATGCTCAGCGCTGGAAACACTGGAACGACGCCAAAAAAATCACAACAAATAAAAGATAAATTTAGGCCGATGAGAGTGTAATTTTGCTAAAAGAAACACCTTATGTACTGTTAGTGTCAGAATTCTGTACTATTGATTCATGTCCAAAGAAACAAAATGTCATTTTGTTAAAGTATCTACTGTGCGAGTTTAATTAGATATTATAATTAAAGCACAACAGATTATGTCATGCCGCCCCCAAATACGAGCGCTCTAAGCAATTTCCTAGTTTACCCGGGTTACACGACGCTAGTTTTTCAAGTCAGGATAGCAAGCTATTATTACTAGATTTACTTAAAATAAAGATAAGGCTTACTATTCTGACTTTAATTAACCTCGTGTTGGCCGGACAATATGTTAATTTAAGTCACCTAATTAATTTGCATGAGTACAAAAACAAACTTTATCGAATTCGTTAATAAAAGAAAATTTATACATAACTTTTACAACATAATTATTATTTATTTGTAATGTTAGTTAGTTGGTTATTTTAATTTAACTGACTTCTTAAAAAATAAGAGAATTATGAATGGTACTGAATTTTAAACAACGAGTAAACTACGGAATATAGTTTATAAAATAATAAAAATATTGTATTTTTGTTGTAGATACCTTATAGTTAAATATGCAAAAAATATTTTAAATATATATAATTCCATAATTAATATTCTATATAATTTTTGGTCAAAGAGAAATATATTATAAATTAATTTATATCGGTTATTCAAGATGAGATTGAGAATGTAAATATTAAGTACAAAATGTTTTATAAACGCATATTGAATTGTATCAATTAATCAACAAAATTAAAATTGCAAATATATTTCTTTATTTATAAAAAAAGGCTTTCATTACTAATAAAGTAAAAAAAAACTACTATTATTAATAGTATTATTGTGTTGATTTATTTTTATTAATTATTTTATTTGGTAATGCATATTCGTCTGATTACTTCTTTCTTTTTACCCGAATGATTGTTGTTTCATTCGGGTAAAAAGAAAGACCCACCTGTTTTAGATAAAAAAGACAAATATTGGTCACGTAACTCCATAATTCTGTCTTATTTGTGTTATTAAACGCAAAACATGAAACAAATTCTAATATATCGAATCTAATATACCTAGATATAAACTAAAACAAAAATTAACTGTTAAAAATTATGCGCCAACAAGATAAGCACATGCGTCTTCTTGGAAATCTGAAGTCAAGTAATAATAAAGTATAAAACTTTTACCCTCCAATCCGCATTAGGCCAGTGTGGAGGGTCATGGCCAATCCTCCTTAACCATCCATAAAAGTGGCCCGAGTCCCTGCAATGGGGACGTAAAAGGGCTGACGCTGATGATGATAAAATCACAATATTTTAGACGTTAATTTACAGAGGCTCCTGTAGATAGAAGTAGAAGTTAATGCACTGATATTATTTTGATACCAAAATATTATTATTTCGAGAACCAAAATATATATTTAATAGTTTCCTAATGTACCTAATTAATATTATTTGTCCCATATTCTATCAAATATACTATTATGTCCGTCCGAATTTTGGTAAGCTCTGATACTGTTCTTTTAACATTAAGATTAAGATGATATTGTTTATTTTAATAGTGTCACAATCATAAAGATTACATAATTATTACGCCACGGTCAGTATCATTTCATTTCAGTAGTTCATCTTAAACTTTTAGGCGAGATGCCGGATAATTATGCAGCCGTTCTTTACGGGCCAAATGATGTTAGAATTGTGAGTTTATCAATTAGTTTACTATGAGCAACATGTAACTTCATAATTTTCATTACACTTTAAGTTATTATTGTTTTAGGAAAAATGGCCAATGCCAGAAATCAACAATGATGGTGAGTTAATTTTTATTTTTTTTATCTGTACAAGATAACTAGCGTTCAAACGCGCGGAAAGCTAGTAATACTTCTTATGACTAGCCTTTGCCCTCTAAAACAAATATTATTCATTCCTAAATATAAAGTATCATGTTTTTATCTTTGACAATGACGAACTTTTAATGCAAACCATAAATCTCTAATTCAACCTTTTTATCACTAAAAGCAACCTAAGTCTTATCTCAAGTCAACTATTTTTAGTGGGTTAGGCCGCGAGAGCTTAACAGACATAGGTATACACATATCTACTTTCGCTATATAAGTAATATTAGTATGGAATAATTTAACAATGCTCTTTTTCGCATATTATATCATATAATAAAAAAATACCGTCTGGTAATCTACACTAATATTATAAAGAGGAAAAATTTGTATGTTTGTTTGTTTGTAATGAATAGGCTCAAAAACTACTGGACCAATTTTAAAAGTTCTTTCACCATTTGAAAGTCTTTTATATAGTTATATAATAGTAAACAAAATAAATTGAATAATAACAATACAAACCACAATTGCTTGGTCGACTTTTAAACTCACAGCTGTTTTCTTTTTCGTTCTCATTTCGATAAATAGCGCTGTGGCCATCTAATTCGCAGTATATCTTATTAGTATTAAGAAGTTTACGAAAGTTTAAACTTAAACTTTTGTAAACTGATAAATAATGTTTATTTTGTGTTAGAGTTGCTAATAGAGATAAGTTGTGTGGGTATCTGTGGGTCGGATGTGAAATTATACATGACGGGCCGATGTGGACTTGAGGAGCTGGTGGAGCCGATGGTGATAGGCCACGAGGGTGCTGGTATCGTCGCCAAGGTAAACCATTATACTTTAAAGACGGAGAGCTTGTGACAAAAATGCGCAAGAGCTTTCTAAAGCTTTCATTTCAGTAAACTGAAGTACTAATGAAACAAAGATATTTAGCAATCGTTAAACTTAGAAGTTTGTTTCGGACCGCCGGGGTGTTCCAACACCTGACCTTCGCAGTGGGTAGTGAGTGATGTAAACCATTAGTACTTCGACGTACTAAAATTGAGCTCTAGCACATTTTAGTCACGATCTCTTAGACTATTAGTACTGCATGATAATATTGCAGAAAGTAGACTGCGACAACTTCACTAGTGCACGCTCAACGAGTAACTTTACCCAATTAACGCATTTGATACAAAAGCTCTACCACGTAACGGAATTGCCCGTCGACACCCCCGATCTGACAGGTTGACTGTTAGTAGACCAATAAGGACTAGGTACAGTCAACAGTACGTCAGGTTATACAAAACCCAAATTTTCCCACCCGGTATAAAACGTTAATATATCCATCCAGTTACACAAACGTTCATTAAAATTGTCATTAGTTTAAAGCGATATGACCGATACATATTTGACTTTCATTAGAGCTTAAAGCCGTCATTTTACCGTAATGGACGTTTGTGCAACTCACTATCAGGGTCGAAGTTAAAAAAGAGTGCCTGAGGCTGGTGGATTTTTAAGCATATTTCTTTAAAGAATTTGTGGTAACCTGGTGTGCAGCCATATGCATATTCACTCAATTCAGTGTCACGACACTCACTTTGAAAACACATCAGTATCACGACACTAAACTCGATGTCACGACACTTACACTAATGTCACAATAGTCACGACACTCACAACAACGACACTGCGACACTCACATTGACGTCACTTCGGTGTCACGAAACTCACATCAGTTATTACATCAGTTATTGGACTGTAATATCACTTTCCATCAGGCAGCCAAAGTGACATATTGCAGTCACTTTGTCGTGCCACATTAAAGAAAACATCGTTGTGTTTGGGGGAATGAGCGAGGAATTTGCCTTCAACTGCGATTCTGGCTTGCAAGTCTTATGTAGTGATTAATGTTGGTTTTGGTTTGATGTAGGTGGGCAGTAATGTGGTGGGGTTCTGTGTGGGCGACCGTGTGGCTATAGAGCCGACGCAACCGTGCGGGGCGTGCGAGCACTGCAAGCGCGGCGAGTACAACCTGTGCGTGCGCCCCAGATACTGTGCTACCACCACAGGAACGGGCAACTTATGCACCTACTACAAACACCGCGCCGACTTTTGCCACAAGTTTGTGTTTGCATTTATTTTTATAGTTAAATCCAAATTCAATGCTACTACTTTGTACACATACTAATCGTCATAAAGCTTATTTATATTATTAATTAGTTTATAACAATGTCATGTCACATGCTAAGTTTTCCAACCAAAAAAAAAGAAAACAAGCAGACTCTCTGATGAAAAGGCAATAAATATATTTTATTTTTGTGGTGATGCCGACATTTTCTCTTCTAGAATGTGGAACAGTATGCCTCTCCAGGTGTTTCCAACTTCATATAACTTTGGGTCCTTCAAAAAGAGATGTGAAAAGACTCTTTAGCTGACCGGAGATAGTGACGGCTTTCAGGAGTTGTTTCCACTTCTGATAGCTATTACTATTATCGGACTGTAATATCACGTGTGTTATAGTCGCTTTGTTGTGCCACACAAAAAAAAAGTTTCAGTATTATCACTTTAATGTCAGATTTGGTCACCTGTTACAATAGGAGCAAATGATATTTCACTCAAAGGCTATAAATTCATAAGTATCCACTAAAACAGATGGATTATTGACTAACCACATTAATGTAAACCATACTTTAAACAAATACACACTACTACATATTAAGATAAATATAATGGCTCATATATGGCTCGTAGCTCATTTCCACACCAAACACAATTGGCCAATGTAACCGACTCACAAAGGAGTCCCTTGACTTCAATCTGTTTGAGTGTTGTAGTGTATTTTTTTAATATTAATGAAACATTGGCGTTCTAGGTTACCGGATAATTTAAGTATGGAAGAAGGCGCGGCAGTTCAGCCACTTGCTATAGCCGTGCACGCATGCAGACGTGCACGTATAACACTAGGTGCACGACTAGTGATACTAGGCGCAGGACCAATAGGTGTACTGTGTGCAATCACTGCACGAGCTATGGGCGCCACGCAGATACTTATTACTGGTAAATGTAATCAAATATTGCTACGCATGTTTTATATCGTCTTTGTTGTAGCTTTCCGCCAGCGGCTTCGCCGCGTGGTTTATATTATACATAAAAGTCTTCCTTTTGAATCACCCTATCTATGAATAAAAACAGATTCACAATCCGTTGCGTAGTTTTAAAGATTTAAGTATACATAGGGATATAGGGACAGGAAAGCGACTTTAGTGAGGGTGCATCATTAGTTTTGACTGTCGATAGATGGCGCAAATTTTTTATTGCGGGTCAAAATGTACACTCAAAAATACACGTCATAAAACTGTTAAATTTCCTCACTCGATTTTGAACCTTAACATATTGCCGGTAGAGTTCAACATCCATTGAAGAAATTTGACAAGTGGTAACTTGACATGCAGCCGTATGTACTTCTCTATAACATAACATTATTCACATACTTTACATTATTATAATTGACCAATTTTAAGTACAAATACGCTCTATAGTATCGAAAAAGTAATAAGTGCTTGAAAAATTCGTAAGTCCTGTTAGGTCATGGGTAGCTCAGTAGTTATAGCAGTCGCCCGGGTTGCGAAAGGTCATGGGTTTAAAGTGGATATTTTAAGCATTTTTCATTAAGAATACGTTATACTACTACATATATATTATATACACATCAACATCGTCTAAGGATATTTAGTATAAAGTTCTAAATTCAAAAAATACTGGCCGTTTTTAAAATCTTTTGATGAAAACTTATTTTGTACGCCTTTTTTGATAATTCCAAATTTGAATAAAAAAGAAATAATTTCAAACAAAAGATTTGCGCGACATAATTCAAGAGAAGTGCGAAGTTTTCAATTTACCTACCATAGTTTTTGAAGATTTTTTTGTGTTAATCGAAAGAAACAAGTTAGCTGTTTAATTTGAATTTGTGCTACTGTATGCATTATGCAGCGACACCATTTAACAAGAAAGAAAATATTTAGGGCAGTAGGCATGCTCTAAGCTGGGGCTAGTCAACGAAGTATTGCTGACGACATCAGAACAAAACAAAACGTGATATCACGGTTATGGTCACGTTATCGTGCTACTGGTGAAGTGGCTCAAAGACACTTAGGCGGGAAGCGCATAACCACCAAACCAAAAGACCGATTTTTGCAAATTGCTGCGAGAAGGCAACTAAATGTTACAGCCATGCAGTTGATTCAAAGGCTCCAGTCAGAGCACCAGTTGCTTGTTAGTGACCAAACTGTGAGAAGACTGCATGAAGCTAATCTACATGCTCGCAGACCACTTCGAACTTCTGGACTACGCCGAGCAAATCGGGGAAGAAGATTACAGTGGGCTCGTGAACATTTGCGCTGGGAAGGTAGCCAGTGGTCTGTAGTGCTGTTTACCGATGAGTCCCTATTCGGTTTCCGTTCTCGAGAAGAGTACGCATATGGCGAACTCTAAGTCGTGAGAGCCACCTGCAACACCCTTAGGAAGTCCATCCTACAAACATTGCCACCGAAGAACATTTTTTTTGCATCTTTTCAGGACCTGGGACAATATCCCTCAGCAAGACTTTGATAAGTTGATTCGAAGCATGAAAAATCGTTGCAGGACCATTGTTAACGATGGGTGGTTTTACAGACTATTGATTTTCGCAAAATTTTCGCAAATAACGGAATACTTTCGCATTTTTCACTTTTTCTCGAAAAACACATTATTTTTACCATTATTCTACTTTTCTATAATCTATAATCTTATTCTATAATCTACGCTAATAAATGGGCTTTATAAAAATATAAACATGTATGTTATTCAGAAAAAAAAAACTGAGATAATTAAGAATAAATAAAATATCACTAGACGATGTTGATGTGTGTATATACATATATATTATACTACATCAAGGGTGACTATGATAAGACTTATGTATTTGACTTGTATTATTTATATATATCTTATCTTCACGTCATGTCACGCAGAGAACCGAGTCTCACAAGGAACGATACTAACATCTTTCGCCTCCTCCACTTTCATAGCTATTTTAATACATTCTCACTAGTTTATATGACTCCTGACATCACCTTCTAACTGCACGCGATTAATTTGATCGTGAAAGGTTTTCTTTGGCTTCTACATCCTTCCACTTTCGTGTTGTATGTCAGTTTTGTAATTTTTTCATCCGGAATTTTTTCCACATGTCACCTACTTTTCATATCGTTATCTTACATGACAACTCTCTTTCTTATCTCTTCATTACCAATGGGGTCTTATATAAGTTTCCTTAACACTTATAATAATAAATATCAATATACATAATATCAATAATAACATAGCACTAATTTGCAGATGTAGTAGAGTCCCGTTTGGAAACAGCCAAAAAAATGGGCGCAGACTACACTCTCCTCATACGACCAGAGTTCTCAGAACAAGACGTGGCGGATAAGATCATGGCTACACTGGGCAGCCCGCCTGATGTCACTATAGAAGCTTGTGGGTACTCATCTACACAAGCCGTTGCGATGATGGTAACATTACGTGTTTTAATCTATTCAAACAAAACCTGTCAATTTTTGTAACGAGTAAATAGTTGATTCTTTTCGATAGTTATATAAATATAGTATTATTTCAAACATAGCATAATACAGATGATGCGACGAATTGAATAGAATAGAAAATATTATATTGTCATTTTCACACAAAAAGCAAAAATTGAAAAAACAATAATTTACAAGTACTTACCTAATATAAAAGCACTATGTGAAGGCCAATTAGGATCCTGTCTTAGCGAATGTCCATGACAGCTTTTAAATGAAATAACTTTTAATGCGCGCACAATAACGCGCACTATCCATTAAATGAAAAAGTTATTTCATTAAATATATAGTGCATGTGAAAATATAAGAAATCAATATCTATACTATACTAGCTTACCGCCAGCGGCTTCGCCCGCGGGGTATCCGTTAATTTGGATATCGATTCATATCATGACACGGATATAATTACAATGACAAATTGAATAGTAGACAATGGTTACTAAGACGTTTTAATTGCCTATACAAACTTCCATTCCCATTTTCGTCCCGTGCTGTTGATGTCGGAGCCTATTCGATGCAATCTTTCCTCTTTGTAATTAGTATCGGTAGTTATACCTCTAATAGAAGATAGAAGCATATGACCAGTAATAACTAATAATTGTGATAAGAGCGAAACAGAGAGTCAGGGAAAAATATGAAATGTGTAGTAATATTGTGTTGTCAGGTGACTCGTCCTGGTGGTACTGTGGTGGTGGTGGGCATCGGGCCTGAGCGCGTGCAGGTGCCGCTGGCGGCCGCCTTGCTAAGGGAGGTCGACGTCAGGGGCTCTTACAGGATAGCTAACACGTCAGTAAACATCATAAACGATAACGTAGAATTAATACGAAAGGACCAATCTAACCCAATAAAAACTATATCGCAGATGAACTCCTTTTCGATTCTGAAGTTGGTTGATTATCGTCGGATAGTAATCTCCTTAACCGTGTTAATTAGTATAAGGAAGGCTGAGCCCCTGCGGTGAGAAGGCAAAATGGCTGACAATGATGGTGTTAGTGTGGGTCAAATCTAGTAAGCTTTTGAGGTTTTCGATTGAGCTGAGATTAGGTATGCATATATAACTTGGGTGAAAATGCAACATTAATATGAAATTGAGCTGATCTAATGACGAAACGTAAACATAGCCATGAAACGTCTAAAATTAAAGAAATGAAAGGTCGCTATCCCTGAGATCTCCAGTTCGATTCCTGGTCAAGTAAATGTAGAAAATAAACTTTCCTATATTGTATCTGCTCGGCTGTTGTAATAACTTCGTCGTTTCAGATTTCCACTATACATGTGTTAACAGTTACTCGATTTGGGATTGAAGCAATATTGTATAATATTTATTTCAACTTCCTTAGCATCAGTCTATTAATGCGGACATTAATTTACTGGGGCACAGGCTTTCCCTACATGGATTCGAATAGGGAGAATGGGCCATGGCCTAGTCCATGACACGGATCCAGTGCGTATTAGTGAACGTGTAAACGACTGCCAATGCAGCCGAGACCAAAGGTTTAACGTGCCTTTTGAAACATGGAGGAGCTCGACATAATAATTTCTTTGTCACAGGATGGGTGACTGACCCTTGCGAAAATTGCCCTAACCCGCTAGCCTATATTCTACTGTAATAGTTCAGATAAAGATATAAAAAAATAGACAAATTATGGAAATGTAATAATAATATCCAAATGTGTTCTATTACTGATACTGAATTACTAAAAAATATATTTGCACACTGGTTAATTTCTATTTTTCTGTTCATATTTATTTCAGGTACCCAGCGGCCCTGGCGGCCGTATCTAGGGGCACAGTAGACCTTTCTCCCTTCATTACGCATCACTTCCCACTAAACAAAATAAAAGAAGCCATAGAACTCGCCAAAACCGGGGCAGCCATGAAGATAATCATACATGTCAAACCTTAACAGTAAAAAAAAACCATAAAAGTCTGAATACGAACTATAGATATAATGCCTAATTTCACATAAAATAACAGAGATGGGACATTTTTTGTCCTCGCTACTCCCACACCTCATTAAGCCAAACAGAGGTGCGACCGCCTAATTTGTATGTACTTTAATGACAACGAACGGATAATGGAGAACGATGATTATGGATTCGACATCTTTCTTATCGCTTTAAACTAATAAAAGTCATATCAAATATCACTATAATATTCACTAAGATGTCGTATCCTATGGCTAAAGTTATGGCTAGATAGTTAGGTTACTTTGTCATAATAATAGTGTTAAATGCGACGTTGAACGCAGTGTTAAATTATCATATAGGTTCAATGAAATAAAACCTAATTCAAAATGTAATTAAGATTTTATTTCATTGAGGCTCGATGCTATGTACAGTGCAGTGCTTATAGTCGAGTTCCGAGTATGTTTCTTAACATAATAGCCTAGTAGTCGTTCAGTAAAATTGTATGATGGAAAATTTTAATCAATATATATGAGTATTTTTTATTTTTAAACAATTTTATAGTTGTCTTTATAATAATCTATTTAACTTTAAATATACTGTTGTTATCAGTCAAAATAACAAAGTAGGTACAAAAAATAATAAAACTCGTTTATAACAATTACATTTATTAAAAAAACAGTTTCTATTATTAATACCCACAGCAGTAACAGACCATTGTTGTACAAAAAGGGGTCAAACCCGTATTTTCATAAAAACATATCTTTGATTGAACGTTATGTTTTATAGTATTCTTTGAATAAGAAATCATTTCACAACTAATTATTACAGGCCACATGTAAATACAAAATTTGAAAATATCATCATTCATAAATAAATATAAGAAATCAATATGAAATTGATATACAGTGGTGGTCATATAGATAAGAACGCTCCTTTGAGAATAGAACATCTACTTAGAAAAAACATATAGCTTGTTGCATGTATTATTTTTTTATTATTGTGGTACTCCGAAATCTTTCTACTTTGTTGGTAATTTCTTCTATAAATTAGATTTAATAAACCACACTTAAAAAAATGGGCAAACATAAGATCTAATACAAGAATTACTTCCTACTGTAGTTTAAAATATGTTTAATTTCTTTTTTAATGTACCTTTTTATAGTATAACAATACAATTACCCAGTATTTTATTTTAAAGATTTTACCAACAGCTTAAGAGTATCGTTTCTAATTATCTGTTCACCTTCATTATCATATACTATAATACTGTCCACGATAAATATACTTTTACAAAAAAAGTTACAAATTTTATGGCTATCCTAGTTTAGTTTATCTTAACTAACTGGCTCTCCGAATACGTAAGTAAATACTAAGAAAAAGTTTCATTTAAAACATTCTACACTACAAATCGTTCTTAATTATATTGCCACCACTGTATCATCATTCAGTTATTATACGGTTTCGATAATAAATCAATTGTAACAGTTTGGTATATTTCAATAGGGATGATGACTGGGTAAAAAAAATGCAATTCTATTTAGTCCGTCAGTCAGATAATAGAAAAATATTAGATACGTATTTTTTTTTACTTCAATTTAACAAGAAATAGCTTAGATAACAGGCATTAAAGTTGAGGAGTGGGGGCTCGCTACGTCACAGTTGAGTAGAAAACGTACTTTAACGTGACGTCATGCGAAATTTCAACCCAACGTAACGCCGTAATTTTATGATTACGAAAAAAATAAAAAAATACGTGTTTAATATTTTTTAACACTCTACCTGACGGACAAACAAACAAAAATTAGTCATCATCCCTATTTCCTCACTTCGGAATTAATTATTAATATTAAATTAACATTCCTCGTTGTAAGGCACACTTTATTTTCTTGTTCTAACTGTACCAGCATATGACGAAATCAGGAAATTAATCATGGAATATGTTAAAATAACGATTCGATTTTTACATTTCCCTGAACAAATAAAATGATTTTTTGAAATTTCTATTTTTTTTCTATTATTCGATGTAAAATAATATCAGCATTTGCATATGCGCCTCTACCCACCTACTGTAATGTTACAAAATAAACATATGGGATTTGATTTAATATGATACCTATAACACTTAATTATTTCATAAGATAACATACTCACTTTGTTGAAAGCCTTATCATATTTGAGATACCATAGAACTATTTTGAGATTTGATCAAATTATTAAACTTGATTGGGGAAATATTAAAATCTAGATATTTTAATAAATATCTCTCTGGGACGTAACCATTTAATTAGAAAACTTGTCTATTAATATTTTTAATTACCTAAAGGAGATTTAGTTTAGATGGATTGAAAACTCCCGGTCTCGTGTTGATGACAGCAGTGTTAGCTCGCGGCACGGGCATGCTGCCTAACTTGTTGCCACCTAACAACAATTTTAACTCATTATTATTAGTGTTTTTTTTTAATTTAATTAGACTTTATATTCTATATATTTATCTGAAATAGACAATTATTCTATTTCAGATAAATATATAGAATATAATTCGATTTTTTATAAATATAAAATATATTTATAAAAAATCGAATTAAAACAACGACTTTCTAAAATCAGATATCTAAATATTTGGTAAAATTACATAATTCAATCTAAAATAACACTTTCACAGACACACATATACAGATACACTTACCCATACATACGTATAACGCTAAGTATTATCTATAGGTCGCATACTGGAGGAAAATACGTCGCATAATCGTCGGTCGTTCTGCTGCATCATATATTTATGCTACATCATATATTTATATGATGGAGCATACTAAAGCATATTTAAAAAAAAATAACACGATATAAAAAAATTCTGCGAGATACTCAAACTATCTTCCGTCAAATATGCACCAACCCTAATTAAAGTTTGTAATCAAAATCTTAAAGAAAAAATAGCCACATATAGTTTACGTAATATAATTTATTACGTTTAAACAACATAAAAATTATTTAAAAAAAATATATTTATAACAACTAACGCCTCTCACAAATTGCAAAACCAGTTTTTTATGTATTCAGTTTGTATAGGAAGATAAACAAAACAAGAAAAACAAAACTCACCGGCATTGTTCTTAGTGGCGGCAGTCCTAGCTAGTTTACTGGCAGCGTTAGTAGTGCCGCGTCCTCGTGCACTAAAACTACTGCGATATGCTTTCTTTTTGGGCGACGACGTACGCTTCCGCTTAAAACTGAACAATACACAAAATAAAGGTCGAGATAGAATTCCAAAAAATAATGTTTGTTATTCTTTATTTCACAGGAAATTATTAAAATATAGTTATTGCATGCGCTAATTATCTATTTTAGGCTACTTATAGAAATTTGACGTTGCGCGAATGTTAAAAATCAACAGTCAAAATTTCTCATTTTCAATTTTTTGATTGCATTTAAGTTTTTATTCAAAACTAGCTGTTGCCCGCGACTTCGTCCGCGTGGTAAAGTTACTTTGAGCAGCATTTCTAACGAATATTTATTCATCATATCGTGTGAAATACCTGAAATAAAGTTTAATCCCCTATTTTACCCCTTCGGGGGTAGAATTGATCAAAATCCTTTATTAGCGGATGCCTACGTCATAACATCTATCTGAATGCCAAATTTCAGCCCGATCCGTCCAGTGGTTTGGGCTGTGCGTTGATAAATCACTATGTCAGACAGTCAGTCACCTTTGAGTTATATATTATTCAAAATAGATGTACATACAGCAGCATGTCAGAATATATCCACAATATATATCAAATTTTTCACAAACGATTTTCCTCTACCTTAAAGGTCAGGGCATTAAGGTTTAAAATGAAGTGAAGAAATTTAATAATCTGTATCACCTGACGTGCTGTTTTTTGTACATAACAGAACATAATTATTTATAAATATACCTTCTTAATAAGATTTTACAGTACTTTTTTTAATTACTTTTATTTTTTCGCTTGTAAGCAAGCTCGTTTTCAAAATCAGAAATCAAAAGTTATGAACTATTGTTGTATACTGACCGTTTCCTGACTCCACCCCTGTAAGTGCTGCGGCCGCGTGAGGGCGTGCTATACGAGGATGATCGCCCGAGTCCAGCCCAGTCCGTCTCTGAATCTGTACAGTCTTCTTTGAAATCACCATCTTGCGGTATCTCTTTTTTACCCTCTTCTAGTTCATCTTGGTACTGCATCAAAAGTCCTGTTCACAAATTACAAATAACGTTAATATAAATTTGTATTCATAATGCCTATGTTGCATCCCTAATGCCTATGTAGGCATTAGGTATGCATACCATACCGATATATCGGCGATTTTGCAAGTTTTCAGATATATCAAAATCGGCGATATTAATTTACCGACACACATATGCCGATACATTTCAAATTTTGAGAGCGATTGATAACCGTCAGTCTGTATATAAAAAGGTTCTACTTTTCAAACGGAGTTATATAGTACTGATATGGATTCGTATTACTTAAGGATTTGAATCCCACAGAAACGCGCTATTCTTCGGTAAAAATTATGGTACAAATTTAATTCTTATTGTCATCATTCTGGAACTTGTATAGATGCACAATATAATACATTTAGATTGAAAAGCTACACATTATTATTTAACCTTAACCATATTTTGTTACACATATACACGGTCAGAGGTTAACACGCTGATTCTAATTTTCCTTCATCGAGATGGCGCTCGATCGCTTCGCACGTCGACAAAATTTCCGCAGTGCTTCAGAGATGGCATTACGAGTCTTCAGAATGGATAGGAAGGAAACGGAAACAAGGGCAAGCTAGAACACACGCAATCGTCTTGATATTTTCGACTTGGACCCAGAGCCCCAAATCACACGAATCCCATTCGCTCATTTCCCCAAAAAGAGTGCGGGATGAAGGAGAGGGATTGTATTAACTAAACGCTGCTTAGAATCAAGATCAGTTTAGGTGCTTACCGATTTTCTCTACTGCATAAGCGGATGTG